GTAATTTAAAGATAAGTTTTTTTAGGTGCAAAAAAAAAAAAAATCTGAAATCCATGCATACAAAAGGGGGGGTGTCTTCAAAAAGTTCATGGAAATGAATGCTATAAAGAAATTGCACCTGGATCTCAAAAAATAAATGTTGACACCAGAGTCAACTTGTGTTTTCATTTCATTTTCCCACTAACTTGTTGTTGTATTCCTGGACTGCTTAGAGGGGAAACTAGACATTCCGAAGTGTGTGGACCGTGGGATTCTGTTTACATTATGTTCCGAGGAGGCGGGATGTGTCCATAGCAAAGGAAATCAGGACCTTGGTTGCCTTTGGGGAGGCAGTGACGGGGTAAGGCAGGCTTGGGCTGGTTACACTTCCTGAGACAGGTGCTGGTTTTACAGGCTGTCCATTTCATGGAGAGTCACTGAGCTGTGCGCGTCAGGTTTGTGTACTTCCTGTATTTTGTGTTTTGCTTAAAAAATACACTTTTCAGGCAGTTTCAGATGTGCCTGCTTTGGGCCTTCGCCAGGTGCTGTAATTGCAGCTGAACTTCCCAGGCCCAGTGGGATGCGACGATGACTTTTCCCCCACGGATGAAGCCAACAGCTTTGCTTACAGTTCTTGTTTTGCCTACAAGATGTTATGTTTAATGCTGGACAGGATATTTGTTTTTCTAATACAACCGCAGCCAGGAAAGCAGGCTGCCAGGCTGGCTGTGGGTGTGCGCGTGTGTGTATGAGTGTACAAACGTGAATGTTGTACAAATGTGAGTGTTGTCTGTGTGCATCGGCAGGTGTATGTACATGTGTGTGCTCATGTGCCATGTTCTCTTCCTACATGATGTACTTGGAGATAAAAACAAGCTTAAAGATGTTCCAAAATAGCTGCCTACGCAGAGGAGTTTCCATCTGTGTCCTGGGCACACAGTACATGTTCAAGAAGGATTTGTTGAATGAATGAAAGATTGTAAAAAAAAAAAGTCAATGAATGAAAGAAAAGAGTGGTGCAGACAGCACTTGGTATGTGCATCTCCCAGAGCAGAAGGCCCGGGTTCAGGTCCCAGCTGCACCCCTGACCTCAGCTTCCTGCGAATAAGCCTGGGGAGCAGCAGGGGTGGCTCTCATACTTGGGTCCCCACCACCCACCTGGGAGACCCGAATGGAGCTCTGCGCTCTTGGCTTTGGCCTGGCCCAGCCCCAGCTGTTGTGGGTATTTGAGGAGTGAACCAGTGGGTGGGAGATCTCTGTCTGCCCCCTCTCTCTGCCTTTCAGATAAATAAATAAATAAGCAAAATAAGAGAAACGGAAAAGGGAGGGAAGAGAAGGCCTGGGCGCTCGTCTTCCCTTGCAGCGACTACCACGGCTGCAGCGTCCGTTGCTCAGGTGCGCCCCCTCCTGGTTTCCTTCCACTTACTGCCGCTCCTTTGACTCAGCTTCTGCTCTCAACAGCCCTTTGGGATGCTGGGCTGGCCAAGGCCACTCTCACACTGCAGCTCGGCCTCTTTCCTAGCGGCCAAGGGCGTGGGACATGCAACATTTGAGTGGCTTGTGCTTTGCCGCCACCTTATGGAAGTGCATCCTGTTTGGGAGGTTCCATGAGGTGGTGGCCTCAGGACGTCCACTCTGACCACTGCTCCCCACCCCTCCACCAGGAGACCACGTACGGATCTTCTGTTGCTTAAATGATTTCATTGGTGTCTGCAACTTAAAAAAAATCTCCGAATGGTCAACTTCTCCATCCCCATTCCTGAGCTCCTGCTCACCCCCATGGGGTCTGCCTCCCCGCCCCCATCACTGGTCCCCATCACTGGCCCCTGACACTTCTTAGATTAGTTCTCTTCAGCCTCACTGCATTTTGCAGCTCAACGGCCCTGGTGACCCAGTGGTGGCCTTTGTGGCCTAGGGGTCCCCACAGGCTCTCTTCACCCCTGCTGGGAGCTGCAGCGCCTCGTGGCTGGATTCCCCAGCCCTACAAGGCAGCAGCGATGAGGCCCCATGCTGCTCCTGGACAGCCCGCGGGGCCTCGGGAAGGGAAGGCAAACCCCAGGCACGGGGCCACCAGCACCTGACCAGGGCAGACGCCACTTGTCTGCGAGACCTTCCTCTCCCTGGGCCTGGACGGGAGCCTCGGGTCGCTCTCAGCACAGTGCACACCACAGGCACCGCCTGTCGCTAAACACGGGACGCTTGTCTGTGACCCTGGTTACCGTGAGTCACTGCGCTCTGAGTTCCGCGTCAGGACGTTAGACTCACTTCCCTGAGGATCAGGGCTGCACAGGGACGCTCGATGGCACCTGGCATTGAGTCAGCTGCTACCGGCCCAGCACGGTGCTGGGGATACGATGATGGAGAGACGATGGGCCTTCTCTGTAATCCGCTCGTGCTGGGCCTAGGGAGAAAGGCCACAGACACGACCCAAGGGGATCACAGGGGACCGCTGGGTCTGAGAGGCCCTTTGGGGGGGCTCCTGCCATGAGCAGATGGAGAAAGGAGGCAGAGCAGGCTGAGCAGGAGCAGTGAGGTCCCAGTGAAGGAGCTTGGGGACTCAGGACATGCATTTGGGAAGTAGAACCATGGACAAGGGCACACCTGACAGGTGCCACCAGCGTGAGACAGAGAGAGAGGAGAGGAATTCACCGGGCTCTAAGCCCGGGCCCACAGTTCTCCCTGTGAGCCGGGAGCCGTGGGCAGAGGTGCCTGGGCGGCTGTGGGGAAGAGAATCCCAACTCTTCACTCTTCCGTCTTCTCTCCCAGCCAGACCCAAAGGTCACCAGAGAGGGTGGGGGCAGAGGTGGGAAGCAGGGGTCTGGCAAGGAAGCGACTGAGCAGGTGCACAGGTGTCTGGAGCCAGCCTGCACTGCTGCCAGAGTCCTCGGGCCCTCATGGGAGGTGTTGGCACGGCTGTGCAGACCAAAGCAGTGAGAACACCGGAAACCAGCCAGGGTTCCAGACAGAAAACCCATGCAGGAGGTGGCTTGGGGACCATGTCATGTGGCAGTGTGGGATGTGGGCGTCAAGTTCAAGTCAAAGTAGACTCAGGAGGAACGTAGAGACTCTCTAATAGCAAGGGATGGATGCCCACACCGGGAGGGGGCTTCCAGTGTAGTGGGAAGTCCCCCGCTTTGGCCAAGGGGTCCACACACTGATTACCTCTGTCCCACGTGTCCCTCTCATGTTCAAAGCACAGCTCCAGGGACCAGCGCTGTGGTGTGGTGGGTGAAGTCACCGCCTGCAATGCTGGCATTCTATATGGGTGCCAGTTTGAGTTCCGCTGCTCCACTTCCAACCAGCGCCTCGCTAAGGGCCTGAGAAAGCATTGGAAGATGGTCCAAGTGCTTGGGCCCCTGCACCCACATAGGAGACCTGGATGAAGCTCCTGGCTCTTGGCTTTGGCCGTGCCCAGCCCTGGCCATTGTGGCTATTTGGGGAGTGAACCAGCAGATGGAAAATCAATCTCTCTCACCCCTCCCCCTCTCCATTTTCCTCTCTCCCTCCTTCCCTCCCTCCATCTCTCTCTCTCTCTGTAACTCTGCCTTTCAAATAAATAATTAATTTTTAAAGCATAGCCCCTGCAAACCCCCCATCTCTGACTCACGTCCTATCTCATGGTGCTAAGAGGCTCCCAGCCCGAGCGCTGAGCTGGCACCAAGCAGCAGCTTCTCCCGCTGTGCATGACTCACTGGAAAAAGTGCTTCATGGGCTATAAGAGGGTGCAGGGGGAGGAGGAGGAGCCTAAAACATTTGCTTTCAAAGCAAGTTGCAGAGAAAGTAAGCACAGGATGCCCCGTCCTGGCCCTGAGCACCGCTCTCCCCCAACAGTGAGACAGGGCAAGACGGGCCTTTTGGCTCATGTGGTGCAAAGATGTTCCAGGAAGGGATTCAAAACAGCACGCGTGAGACGTGGCTAAACAGCTCGGCCCAAGACCTGCTGATCTGCTAGCCCTCATGTGCCCAAGGAATGGGCATCGCCACTTCCCCGGGCTGCCAGGAAGCCCCCTCCCTGCCTGACGATGCGGGGGAGGCCCCCTATCTAGGACAGACCCTCAGAGGGCTGCCCGGAGCTGCCCGGCTCTGGGGCACACACTCCACAGCCAGCCCCTTGCAGGCAGAGCGGATCCTGCTAACACGGCCCCTTCTGATGGAACACTCGGAAAATAGTCCCAGGCAGAGGGGACACGGCCAGCGGGAAGCGGGGGTCCTACGGAGCAGCTTTAGGGGTCCTCAGTTAGCAATAACACTGAGGCCAGAGGCAGCCTCAGCATCTCTCTAAACCCATGCCCAGGGAGTGACTGCTGGGCCGAGAGGAGGGGGAGCAAGAGAGGAATCCCACCCACCCCTCCAGGAACGGGCAGCAGCGTCTAAGGGCTTTAGCAGTCCAGCCCCTGACCACCTGAACAGCATCTGACAAAATATTTCATTTCTGCCTCTGTTTGCTCGTCTGTAAAACAGGAAGAATAATACCAGCCCCTTTGCAATGAGATCACGAATAGAAAGTACTGACTGGAGAGACTGCACTTAGTGACACGTATTCACGTGGCGCCTACTGTTTTACAGCAAATGCAGCGGTAGCTTTTCCCTTCGTGTTGAGACACAGAGCTTGGAGAGTTTGTAAGTTCAGAGAGTGTGAGAAAGTGTGTTAACGCTATGAAACCTCTGTACCTTCAAATACTTTTTCATTTGTCCACAAAACCCAGAATCTCCTTCGCCATCTAATGAAATCTAAGTGGGAACGAGCTGGTGTGACTTAGGCATCCTGCTCACCACCAGACGCACACGAGGTGCCAGGAGCACTTCACGATTTTGTACTCTCCAGCTGCGTGCAATGCGCCTGTCCCAGGAACTGCATGTTTTGATGGCATCCCCTAATCTTGGGCCCCACAGAACAAACAGGAGCTCCTGCCCTCTGTGTGAGGCTATGATGCACTCAATCGCTGATGCATCCCCGCACGACGTCAGGAGCAGAAAACCAGCGTCCGTGCGTCTCCCCGGCCACACCGAGCCGCCCTTACCTGCTGAAAAACGTCTGCATGGCTTCCAAGTTGGGAATCGTCTGGGCTTTTTGGTTTCGTTGCAGGAAGACCCACAAAAGTGTTGTTTTCAGAAGATGGAACTCACTAAAGGTGAACAACCTGGTCAAAACAAGAGATTGCAAAGACATTTTAGGAACAGACAAAATCACACTGTTGGCAAGAAAACGCAGTTCCAAGTGAGCTTGGGGGAGGGGTGGGCATTGAGGCGCAGTAGGTCCAGCTGCCACTTGCAGTCCCGGCATCCCTTATTGGAACACTGGTTCGAGTCCCGCTGCTCCGCTTCCATCCCAGCTCCCTGCTAATGCAGCAGAGGACGGCCCGAGTACTCGAGCCCCTGCCACCCACGCGGGAGACTTGGATGGAGTTCCAGGGCTCTTGCTGTTGTGGCCTGAAAGATCTGTCACTCTGCCTTTCAAACAAACAAATAATAAAGAAATTTGCTTGCAAAAGTGAGCTTAAGAAGGAGGCAACACCACCCTCTAGAGTGTATCAGTGGCCTCAGAGAGAAGGTCCCTCTGATAGCGAGTGGCAGAGCGCGAGTTGGCTGTCCACAGCCTGACCCTGGGGCCCGAGCTTTCGCCCTCCCACTGTGCCGTGTTTAATGAGCTCCCACCATGTGTCAGGTGTTCCCAGGATGCGCTGTGCTCCCTCTCTATTGAATCCACACAACCACCCACAGAGCTTGGATGTGATCCTTTTATGAATGCAGAAATGCCATTGACCCTATTTTTATTTAAAATTTTAGTAGTTGTAGAGCCAGCACTGTGGCATACAGGATAAAGCCGCTGCCTGCAGTGCCGGCATCCCATATGGGCACCGGTTCTAGTCCCAGCTGCTCCACTTCTGATCCAGCTCTGCTATGGCCTTGGGAAAGCAGTGGAGGATGGCCCAAGTCCCTGGGCCCCTGCGCCCGCGTGGGAGACATGGAAGAAGCCCCAGGCTCCTGGCTTCGGCCGTTGTGGCCATCTGGGGAGTGAACCAGCAGATGGAAGATCTCTCTCTCTCTCTCTGCTTCTGTCTCTCTGTAACTGCCTTTCAAATAAATAAATAAATCTTAAAAAAATTAGTATTTGTTCATCACAGCTTTTTTTTTTTTTTGCATTGCTTTTGATTGTAAAACATTGCACAGACGCGTACCTGATGACCAAGCTTCTTCAATGGCCCCTTACAGTTTACACCTCAGGTGAGGGCCTCACCTTCCTCACCCTGCCCTGGCCCCGAGTGACAGCTGAACCGTGAGCTTCCTCGGCGGCTCAGTTCTGGGCTCAGACCCGGTCATGGTCAGGTTAGCATCTCCGCTCTTGTGGGCCTTCCAGCTGCCTCTCCTCATGTCCGAGTGGCAGGGACAAGAGCTGCTCAGAGGACGGGGGGAAGACCAGGCTGGGGGACGCACTGCGTGGCTTTCCTGTAGCAGATGTCACCAATCGTCACACACCCAGCGGCTTGAAGCAACACAGGGCTGTTCTCTCACAGCTCCGGGGGTCAGAAGTACAAAACGGGTCGCACTGGGCTGAGATGAGGGGGGTCAGCTGGGCTGGGCGCCTTCTGGGGGCTTTGTTTTGCCAGCGCCTAGAAGGGCACCAGCGTCCCCTGGCTGGGGCCCCTTCCGCCACCTGCCAGTCTCTCTCTGGTTCTGGCTCCTCTGCCTCTCCCCTCTTTATGTTTAAAGGAGCCTTGTGATTATATCCTAGATCATGCAGGGTGACCTTGGTGTTTAAAGTCAGCTGATTAGCAATCTTAATTCCACCTGCGGCTGTGACGCTCCTTTGCTGTGCAGTCCAAGCACACGAGGGATCCCTAGAAAATGCGCTTTAGGGAAAATCATGCATGGACCTGAAATTTTTCTGTTGCACCAAAATGAAGTTATTTAGACATTCCCTTTTCTACGAACTCTTTGAGGTATTCTCAGTTCCTGGGGCTTGGCAGTTGAACATCAGAAAGATCCTGCAGGTCCCAGGCGCCCAGCACAGGGCGTGGCTCACCACCAGGTGCCCGGTGAAAGGCAGCTCTGACTTCCCTGGGGCAGGGCTGGCCCGGGGCCAGAGCCCCCACTGTGCCTGCAGCTGCGTGGGGTCTGTCCTCAGAAAGGAGCCACGCCAAAGACCCGCTGCTGCCCCCTGCCACGTCAGCTCTGTGACGTGGGGACAAACAGCTCCTCCAACAGCCTCCGGCGCCCGCATTAGCTAAGGAGCCATTTCCGCGAGTTGGTGTCACAGCCTCTCCGTTCACCGCCAAAGCATTGGCTCTAAAGGGCAAGGGCAGTGTCAGCCGCCCGCCCCTCACGCCGCTCCTGGGCAGAGGAGAACGGTCGCCTTCCTCTTGTATGGTTTCCGGGCCGTGGGCTTTGACCCTGGCCAGACAGGACCAAGTTTGTCACTGTCTGGGCGCCAGCGGGGAGACTGCAGAGTCACTTGGCGTGCTGTCCCCACAAATTGCACTGTCAGCGGGCGGGGGCCGGGGGAGGGGAAGCTGCGTGACTCCCCTGGCAGGTTCCACACTAGAGGTGCCCGGACGGTTCTTGGAGATCTTGCCAAAGAGGCACTGGCAGCCACGGCGGGGGGCAGTCGGGGTTCCGAGTATTTGGGAAGCATCCGTCGCTGCAGTGAGGAGCCACAGGGAGGATGTTCCAGCACCTTGCTTTACCGGAGACGTCCGACGGCCTCAGTCACCCTGGAACTCACGGCAGTGCCGGGTCTCCCTCCCTCCCACCCACCCAGGCAGGCCACAGGGCAGGGATGCCTGGGATCACGGGTGCTCACTGGCAGCCACTGGAACACAACCGAGGTCTGTTCTTTAGGAGAAAAGAGCGCTCTGCACAAAACAGTGTCCTCTATCACGGCTTTGGAGAGAGAATTGTATCTAAACAATAAAAGCCCCTTTTGAATATGGACCCTGGTGAAAGCTGGCGCATGTGACCAAGTTCTGAACAAGGGGACCCATTGCAGCGTTGCTTGTGGCAAATGACAGAACAGAACAGAAGGGCGTTAGGACGGGCATGAGGAAAGATTGCTGTGTGTTCACTCCACAGAGCCCCGGACGCTGAAAATAAAGCGAGCTGATTAGATCCAGAAGCAGGCGCACAGGCAGGACACACGGCCGCTGGGTGCGGAGCTCAGCCTGTGACAGCGGCTCTGAGGCTGAAGCCCTGCCAAGCAATCCGGGTGTTATTTCTGCCTGCACAGGGATGTGTGAGAGCGTGAACACAGGAGTCGGAGCCACACAAGTTCCTAACAGCGGCTTGATCGTCTTTAGGAGGGGATGGAGGGAGCGAGAGAGGCACCGAGGGGAACTTAGGTGGCGTCGGCTTTATTGGTGGTGTCTCACTTTTTTTTTTTTTTTTTTTGACAGGCAGAGTGGACAGTGAGAGAGAGAGAGACAGAGAGAAAGGTCTTCCTTTGCCGTTGGTTCACCCTCCAATGGCTGCCGCGGCCGGCGTGCTGTGACCGGTGCACCGCACTGATCCGATGGCAGGAGCCAGGTACTTATCCTGGTCTCCCATGGGGTGCAGGGCCCAAGCACTTGGGCCATCCTCCACTGCACTCCCTGGCCACAGCAGAGAGCTGGCCTGGAAGAGGGGCAACCAGGACAGGATCCGGCACCCCGACCGGGACTAGAACCCGGTGTGCCGGCGCCGCAAGGCGGAGGATTAGCCTAGTGAGCCGCGGCGCCAGCCGGTGGTGTCTCACTTGTAATATACAACAAAATGCTGCCGTCTGTTCATCTGGGGGAGTGATGACTACTGTGTTTTGTAGTACCCGCCAACCTATGTAAGCTTGTCTTCAATAAAAAGTGATCATATCCTCACCGATCTTCACCCCCCTTAAGAAACACGAAGGCCTTACACAGAGCACAGTAACACACTAGTAATATGACCGTGGCTTTGAGGCCACTCGGTCTGGGTTCAAATACCAACCCTCCTGCTGAATGAGGGGTTTCAGGCTAATCCCTTTGCTTCCTGTCATCTCCATCTGCAAGTGAAAAACCGCAGAGAGCAGCTGCCACTGTAGGAATTAGTCTGGAGTGTTCTGTATACAGCTGGCGCTCAATGCTACTTTTTTTTTTTTTAAATTTTGACAGGCAGAGTTAGACAGTGAGAGAGACAGAGAGAAAGGTCTTCTTTCTGTTGGTTCACCCCCGATGGCTGCTACAGCCAGCGCTCTGCGCCGATCCGAAGCCAGTAACCAGGTGCTTCCTCCTGGTCTCCCATGCGGATGCAGGGCTCAAGGACCTGGCCCATCCTCCACTGCCTTCTCAGGCCACAGCAGAGAGCTAGACTGGAAGAGGAGCAACCGGGACTCGAACCCGGTGCCCATATGGGATGCCGGCGCTGCAGGTGGAGGATTAACCAAGTGAGCCACAGCGCAGCCCCTCAGTGCTACTATTAACCAGGGAAGGGCTCGCTGCAGGATCTGTTCCATTGAGATGGGAGCCTCTTGGTGTTCCAGCTGCCAGGGGGCAGCATCCCAGCCTGGAGGGAAAGCTGGGGACAGGGTGGACACGGTGGCTTTTCTTAGAGAATCCTGGAGACCTTGCGATTCCTCGGACCATGAACAGGGAGAACTGGAAACTCGGAGGGATGCTGTGCCCCCTTTTGTGTAGCAGCAACGATGACTCTGCGGTCTCTGCCCTCCAACGAGCAGCAGGAGCTTGGCTTCCAGGGAAACAGAGCTCGGAGTGAAGAGTTCACGACAGGAGAGTCAGCAGGACACCGTAACCTCACGGTGACCTCCAAGAAGAAAATTACTGAAAACCCAGCAAATGCCCAGGAAACTAAAAGCAAACCAGGAGCCCAGGAGGTCGGGAGCACTGTGTATGCTTAACCCCGAGGGGTTTACAGAATGGAAAGCAAACCCCAAAGGAAGGAAGACGAGGTCAGAGGAACTCCGGGCAGGAACGACTGATGCCCAGAAGCTGAGGCATCTGCCGGGAATGGATGTCGTTGCAGACACCCACGGCCACGCGTGGGGTGACGGCCACGTCAGCGGCAGGAGCGGCAGCTATGTGCAGCCAAGGGGCGCCCCCTCCCCGACCTCAGGCTGTGCTGTTTCCGCAGGTCCCACTCTGGCCACGAGGCTCCCCAGGACCCCCAGTCCTCACTGGGTTCTTGCACGCTGGGAAGGAAGCCCCAGGCTCCTCCGTGAAGGAGGCGCAGCGCAGGATCGAGGGGAGGACGTGGACTTTGCAGCCAGAGGAGCCCTGCCCGGCCCTTTTTTCTTGGGGGTCAGCACTGCACCTCCTGCACGGGGGTGGGGGGTGGAGGGGGGTGTGGAATTGAAAGAGACAATGCATGCAGCACAGCACAAGCCAAAAGCCAGGTTCTCGTAATCAGGTGTGGGCCGAGGTGCCAAGCCCACCAGCACCCTAGGAAGGGGAACCCCCTCCTGGTTAAGCGTCTAACAGGTACCCCTCTTCCTGTGTTCTCTGCCAGCCCCCTACTTCAAGCTGCAGCAGAGGCGCCCCCTTAGATCAGCCCCAGATGACGTGGCGAGTCTGGGGAGCTGATGGCAGGGTCACCTCCACTTGCCCACCTGTGGCACACGGGCCCTTACGTGCCTGAGGCTGAGCAAGGCCCTTCCCTCCTCGAGCAGGATGGCCCTGGACAGTGTGTGTAGAGGGGGGCGGAGGAGCAGCGCCCGTTTCCCCGTCAGTCATGTCTGCCCCGGCTGGGGAGTCTAGACACCTAGTGCGTCACGTCCTTGACCTCTTTTCCTGCCCAGCTGGTGTTTTGTTGGCATGTCCCATGGCCAAACTTTCTGGCTGTGGTTAGACGTTTTTCCCCTCTTTTTTGGTTAAATGTTCCTGGGGGCGGGGAGGGGGAGACAGCTCAGCCTTTCCAAGGGAGGGTCTGTGTTGTGAGGAGCCTGAGAGACGCCATGTTTATCTGTTCTGCAATGATTGTGTAAGACTTGCTCCATCGGAGGGCGGGGAAAGCAGAGGGGACCAGAGCACAGGGCTCCGGGAATTCACTGCTGCCCTGGGGCTGGAGTCCCCACGGTCTTGTGAGATACCATGGTCTCCCCAACACCAGGACTCTGTCCCACCACTACATGGCTCTGAACACAGAGGCTGCCACACGCTACCTGGTCAATTCAAACTCACAGAATAAATCTTCCCAGATCCAATTCTGAAATGAGAACACTTCCAACCACATAAGCACGAGAGAACACTGGCTTTCTAATATGCCACTAAGATTATTTTTTTAGTAGAGTTTTCACTTTTGAAATTTGCCCATAGGGAACACAATTGTCATAACCTCACAGAGAGGACTAAGAAAGTTTTAAAAGAGTCTCAAAAGGAGACACAACACACAGTCCTCTGCTGGCTCCTGCAGTGGGGGGGGGGGGGCTGTTGTGGGAGGGGCTGTTGTCGAGGACAGTATTGATCAGTGGCATTAAAGTATTGCATCGATATTCAGATTTCTTCAACGTGATCACTCTCCTGTGATTAAGCAAATTCTTTTTCCTGGGAAATGAACTCCGAAGTAAAGGATCATGCCATAAGCATGTCAGAGATCACATGTAAGCAAACACAGCAGAGATTGAACAATGGGGTGACTCAAGGCAAAGGGTATATAGATATTTTCTGCTCTATTCCTGTAACTTTTAAAGATGGAAATCATTTCCAAGTAAGCATTTTCTAAAGACTAATACACACAAACAGAAAGTTCTTTTGACTTGGAAATTTCATTCCTAGGACAATAACCAAGATAAAGATGGACACACGTGGGGCCAGCGTTGTGGCATAGCAGGTAAAGCTGTGGCCTGCAGTGCTGGCATCCCATATGGGCACTGGTTCTAGTCCTGGTGCTCATCTTCCCATCCAGCTCTCTGCTATAGTCTGGGATAGCAATAGAAGATGGCCCAAGTCCTTGGGCCCTTGTACCCACATGGGAGACCTGGAGGAAGCTCCTGGCTCCTGGCTTTGGATTGGCGCAGCTCTGGCCGTTGCAGCTAATTGGAGAGTGAACCAGTGGATGGAACTCACTCTCTCTCTCTCTCTCTCTCTCTCTCTCTCCGCCTCTCCTTCTTTCTCTGTATAACTCTGACTTTCAAATAAATAAAATAAATCTTTAAAAAAAATGGACATACATTGAAGGACGCTGGCCGAGGAGCTATTCATGTTGGTGACACATGGAGTAACCCAACAGGCCGTGTGCTAGGGGATGGGGCTGCAAAGTCCTGGAAGGAAGGACGGCATTTCGGACAGGCAGATCAGCGTTCAAGGAGCCCCCTTGTGGGTGAGAACCAGCGGGAGGTCTAAGGAAGGTCCTTGTGGCTGCCTCATGGTGCAGGAGATGGGGAAGGCAGATCAAGAGCCAATGGCCCTGGGCTCGAGGTGTGGTTGGAAGGGCTCGGAGGAGGACACTGAGTCAGAGACCCTGCAGTGGTCCCAGTGAGGTCGCGGGAGACTGGCCTCAGGCTGGGGCTGGTGCTCAGAGGAGGAGAGCCTCGCAGAGAGGGGCTCAGCGTGGAAGCAGAGCCGGCCTCATGGCTGCCGTGAGGTCACAGTGGCGCAGCGAAGGGCGGGGGGCGAGAGCATTCGAGCGGGCGTGGAATGTCTGGGTCTAGAACTGCTTGGTGAGGACTGGGGCTAAGCACAGGAACCGACTGGGGCGGGGGGGGGGGGGGGCTTTTTCCCCTGCCTCTCTCTTTCCCAAAACAATGGATTAGAAACAGTCGTAGGCCATACAGTCTTGGGTTTTCTCACCCAGGTGGGTAATGAGACAGGAGGCACCCAGAGGGTCCCTGCAGAGGGGGAGCATGAAGGGAGCCTCTGCCCCAGGGCATGCACGGGACCCCAGGCTGCGGGCCACGCTGTCCATCCGAGGACAGGATGTGGCCACGTGCAGCAGGGTGTGACTGCAGCCCTGTGAGCCCCTCCCTTCCTGAAATGCCCCCATCTCTGCCCCCCCGCAGGGGAGCGCCCCCAGAACCGGCTCTGACCTGGGCGACTTCAGCACCTTGTGCAGCAGCTCCTGTGGGATTTTCCTGAGGTGGACCTGCATCCCCACCAGAGGGACCAAGTTCATTTCCAGCCACTTCTCGCAGGCAGTGGTGAGCTGCTCCTCCTTGTACTGGGGGGAAAAGGGGGAGGGGAGGGGACACCGGATGAGGAATCCCTGAACTGGCAGCACCCTCTGCTGGCCGGCCACGAAGCCACGCCAGGTGTGCGCCTGGGGAGGGAGCCCCACGCGGCAGATGTGCACCGGCAGTAGTGACCGTGACTGAAATGCTGCCCCGGTCACTGCAGTGCTGTGGGGTCAGCTCACTGTTACCCCGACTTCACCACCGGAGAAACGGAGGCTCTGGGCTTCTCGTTCTTGCCTGGGGTCACACACAAGCAGCAAAGCTGGGCACAGACCCAGGTGGCCTGACCACGGACTGTGGGTGCTACACTGCCAGGGCTACAGTCAGTGACTGACCACAGAAGGGCCCTGGGCATAGGCGGCTGAGGTTCTTATGTGCACATACATTAAGAGTGAGAATTAGGGCCAGGTGTCCGACACAGAAGTTAGGCAGCCACTCGGGACACCCACATTCCCTATCAGAGCGCCTGGGTTTGAGTCCTGCTCTGCTCCTTATTCCAGGTCTTGCTAATGCGCACCCCTGGGGACAGTGGGTGACAGTGGCTTAAGTAGTTGGGCCCCTGCCACCCATGTTGCAGACCTGGATTGGACTCCCTGCTGCTGGCTTCTGCCTGGTCCAGGCCCAGCTGTGGTGGGCATTTGGGAAGGGAACCAGTAGATGGGAGATCTCTCATTGTCTTTGTCTTTCTGTCTTTCACATAGAATAAATAGAAGTATATTTAAGGACAGGGCAAGTGGGAAAGGCTCCCTGGAGCAGGGGACCTTGACAGATCTTCGCACACTTTGCACATCTCAGGGCCCGGGGCCTTTGAGGGGACAAAGCGCTGCTGAGAAGCTGACCGGCACGCAAAGGCACCGCGGAGAGCGACTTTCTGACCCCAGGGAGGGGAGGAGGGCTCACGTGGCTGCTTTGACAAACAGGCAGGGAAGGTCCTTCTAGGTGATAAGAGCGCATGCGCTGGAATGTTCCACGTTGTGAGTGCCCCTCCGGGCCCCTGGGCGGCCTCACAGAGGGAGCTGGAGTCCGGAGGCCTGAGCTGTGGGCCCAGCACGGCTGCTCACTGCCCTCTGATAATGAAAGCTGCCTTGTTATTTATTCCCAGCTGGATCCAGGGTCAAGATTGCCCGGTCCAGGGAAATCATCCTGGAAAGTTTTTGTTTTTTGATGAGAAAGGCTGGGCTGCCCTCCCAGGAGCCCAGGTGCCCAGGATTAAGGTCTTCCTACATTCTGGTGTTAAAGCACCCACTTAATTTATTCTAACACATGTGTTCCCTTGGCCAGCTAAAGCGCGCTCGGTCCTCGAGTCTGTGCCTTTACGTAGATTCTTTCGGAGATGGGCCTCATGGGAGAATCCCAGAGTCCGCGGTGCTCTGGGAGGGGCCCCGGGCCCTGCCAGGCTGCTCTCACCTCTCGTGGGAGAATCCCAGAGTCCGCGGTGCTCTGGGAGGGGCCCCGGGCCCTGCCAGGCTGCTCTCACCTTGCAGCCGGCCAGGTAGAAGTTCTTGATGCTGCTTGACGTGAGTCCGTTCATCATGATGGCCACACACCTGTGGGGAGAGACCTGCTGCAGCTGGTGGCCCTCCGGGCTGTCCCCAGAGGAGCGGGCAGCTTCAGGGAGCTTCGTTCAGCTCCAGGATGGCAGGGAGACCTCCAGAGGGAAGGAAGGGAGACTTGTGTGCTGAGAGACGTTGGGCCAGACCAGCAAGGTCTCACACAAAGAGCTCTGGGCTAAGAGATGAGGCCAGAAAGGATAAAGTAACCTTGGCAGCAGGCAGCAGCGCTGCGGCTCAGAGCAAAGCGGCTCAGCTGCCTACTCGGGGCTTCCTCTCAGCCAGTGTGGCCCCTGGCTGTGCCTGCGCACCGCTCCCTGTACAGACCATCGGGGCACTGGAGGGGACTCCAGCCCTGGCCCCTCTGCACACATACGGATGCAAAGAGCAACTTCCGGATGAAAATTGCGGTCCTTTCTCGTGACCGGGCCTTGCGTACTTGACTCACTCACTCCTTAAGGACAGGTTTATCGTGCCAGGCCCCAGGCGAGGCCTTTGGTATGCAAACAAGGCTGAGGGGCCTGGGGCAGGAGGTGACACATGTGATGTACATGTATAGACCGATTCCCACATTGTGGAGGCCATGGGCCTGGGGCTGCTCGCAGGCCGGTTATCTGCAGACCCGGGCCTGGGCCCATCAGCCTCAGGCAGGCCCAGGCCTGCTCATCCAGACACGGTGGATGCACAGTTCAGACCTCAGTGGCCATCTGGACAATTTTATCATGAGTGGGAGTTCAGCTGAGGCGACCTCTAGGGTCTCCTCCAGCCCCTGGCACCCCTCCCCCACACCCCAACCCTCACCAACCATACCATCAACCTGGCCTGTGCAGGAGGAACAAGAGACAAAGTGACCATCTCATCTGAGCAAAGCAGAGACCACAGTGTTGGGGTGCAGATTCTGGGGCTTCTGGACCTTGCTACTTGGAAGTGGTGAAGCCTGATGCAAGATACACAGCCCTCCAAGCTTCTGTTTCAGTCCTGCCCCCTACAGCGGCAGAGCGGATGGACAGAGGGGATCCCTGCAAAGAGCTGGAAGAGCAGCTAACTAGCCAGTGCTCCATCTCTAAGCCCCTGGTGCCAACACCCCGAGTGCCCAGCGGAGTCCCGGGAAGGGGACAGGACAAATGCTATGAACTTGGCTTTACAGGGGCAACCACGAAGGTTCATGGCAAATGGGGCAGCTTACTGCAGCTGGGCCCTGACCCTCCTCTCGGGCTCTGGGTTGCTCTTGACTCTGCAGGCAAAGTTCAGTGGCGCCGGAGACTCTTACCTTCTCAGAGCACTGCCGTGGCTGCCTGGACACAGGCAGAGGCACAGAGACCATCACTCCCTCATGATGTCCACACCCACCAGCTCTCCAGCTGTCCAGGGCCCAGGTAACTCTGGTTGGGATGAGGATGCTTTCCCATCTGGTACCAGCCCACCTTGGTGCCTCCAGGTCCCCCAGGGTGGGGTCCCCCAGGACAACCCAGATCTGAATGCCTGGGAGAAAGGCTGTGTCTCCAAATGGGCAGGCGTGGTTGCAATCAATTTTGATTTTGATCTTTGTGTTTTCCTCTCTCCCCGGAGATCTGCAATGGCCACGTGCAACAACAGAAACACTGTGTCTGAAAGGAGTGGGGGAAGAGAACAGACAGAGTGGGGAAAGTCGACTTCCTCCCCATGGCCAATTGCTATGCGTGTACTCTGTGGAGAGAGGAATTGTTAGCCAAAGATAAAAAGCAGTGAAATCGGTAGGCCAGCCTGGTAGGAGGGCTGCCTGGAAGTCACTTTGTGCACCTGCTAAACCTCCCGCAGTGGTAAAGGTGCCGCACTTGCATGCCATTTCTGTGAGCCAGTCCTTTGGCTACAGGAGCACACTGCTGATTTCTGCAAAGGGGGCACTGCTCCACGATGCACTGAGAACACGCTTGTGTAGATCACGGCCTCGAATCCTTTTCAAGTTCAAAGCTGTGCTTAGCTCAAAGGGATCCCAGTGTCTCAGCCAAGCGGAGAGAGACGTTCTGTGCCGTAGGCCAGGAAGAGCCCTCCTGGTTTTGCCCAGTGCCGGGCCCGGCCCCTCCCCATCTCCTTACCTTTGAAACAGGTGGCTGAACTGGAGGATGTGAGCGGAAGCCAACACCCCCAGCACGTCGTTCAAGTCGATCTCCACCTCGCTCAGGTACAGGTGCTTCAGAGCCGTGGCAAAGGCTGGACAGGCAGCAGCGGAGACAGCGGTCAGCTGGGGCTCTGCACACCTGGACACCACCCTCAGCCCCCACTCCTGCTGCAGAGACACTGTGGGTGGCCAGAGACACTGTGTAGACAGCATCCAGGCTGTGACGAGCCAGCTTCCAGCCCTGCCACAGGACTTGAGATGAAGCCGAAGCCAGCTGAGCCCCTGCTGAACAAACGCCCCTTTGTCCCTGTCCTGAGTCTCAGCCTTGAGGTCCTCTCCTAACCTGGGGTCTGTTGCCTGTGCAGGAATGGGACAGTGGGCAGTGGGCAAGTAGGCGTGTTTTTCTCTGACACCTACACGTAAGTAGCTTAGAGCAGATTTTCTATTTCATCTAATCCTTGAAAAACAGTCAAAGACGCTGGAAAGAGCTGGGAGAGTCTGATAGTTCAGGGGCTGGACTGCCCTGGTGAGGGCCCAGAGGGGCTGAGCTTTTCCCAAGTCCTCTGTGGTCCCCGCGCAGAGCTGTGCAGCTGTCACAGAGTGCTCAGAGGACGCTGGCTGAGGCTGGTCGCTTCCTGACCCACGCTGTCCTAAGCCCACGCTGTCACAGGATGTCACGCACACTGCATTCACACGCAAGTCTGTTCCTGAAAGGGGTGGGGAGGTGAGCCCCAGGAGCGGCCTGGGGAAGCCAGCAGGGCTCCTGGGCAGGGAGGAGAGGGTCAGATGCTGGCCAGGAGCAAGGGTGGACCTGAGGGCTTCCCTGGCTGGTGTGACCATGGACAGTGCGGCTCCATTGTTGCTGGATCTGTCTGAGAAGCCTCCTCAGCTTCCCGCCACTCGCACGCCCCTCGCGTCCCACCTCCTGCCGTGGCTCCGAGTCGGCCCAGCCCTCGCGTCCCTTCTCTCTTTGCACTGTTCTGGCATCTTCGCTCAGGAAGCACCGGACACTGCATCACTTATTTGTGTTTTGTTTGTGATCTGTTTGTTCGTTTTTAAATCTGAGAGGACCGTTGGTTCAAAGACACTCTCAGAACATGAAGGCAAGTACTAGGCCGGCGCCGTGGCTCAATAGGCTAACCCTCCGCCTTGCGGCGCTGGCACACCAGGTTCTAGTCCAGGTCAGGGCACCGGATTCTGTCCTGGTTGCCCCTCTTCCAGGCCAGCTCTCTGCTGTGGCCAGGGAGTGCAGTGGAGGATGGCCCAAGTGCTTGGGCCCTGCACCCCATGGGAGACCAGGAGAAGCACCTGGCTCCTGGCTTCGGATCAGCAAGTACGTTACCGACTCTAGTGACGGCTGGGTCATTGATCTTCAGGTAAATGGTCATCCTCTTAATCGGGGACCTCTCTTTGATCTTCCTGGGCGATTGATCTGGCAAAGGAAACCAGGTAAGGCCGCATGGACGGCGGGGTGGCCACAGCCAGGGGAATGTCGGAGGCTCGCGTGGCCCCCCACACAACTCCTTCTTGCTATTGAGCTTCTCTGGTGGCTGCATTTTAAAAATAATTATTTATTTTGAAACAGTGTAATACTCATGGAAGTTGCAACAATAATACTGAGTTCTGTGGACCTCTGCCCAGCTTCCCCTACTAATCTTATATGGCACCATGTGCTGTCAAAACTGGGAAACAGATGCTCACTGATCTACAACCTTAAAATTAACTAATTAATAAATATTGTAGCTATTTATTCCCAGCACTCATCCCCCTCTCCGGCTCCTGTCTCTCAAGAGGCCGTGAACAGTTTGAGAGGAGGGAGTGGGCCTCGGCCGTTCCTGCACCCGTCACCGGGGCAGGTCAGGCATGAGGTGGGCGGGCTGAGGACGAATGTGGGACTGGGGCACCCGCCCAGCGGCTCTTGACACCTCGCCACGAATAGGTCTACACACTGGGGAGGCTGCCACTGAGGAAGGACAGACGGGGCCCCGCCCACTCACCGCTGTGCACCTTGGGCACAGAGGCCACAGCCCCACACCCTTCCCGCCCCTCTGCTCGCTGTCCCCTCAGCTCAAGTGACCCCTCGTGCAAGGCAGCACCCCACCCACCCCTAGCTTTTATTCTTCCGGCAGACTAGAGGCACGGTGGCTGCCGTCACACCCCATGTCTGTGGGGTGTGAGCTACTGGGCAGGTGCACGGCACACACTGCCGCTGGGGAGGAGTGGGCTGGAAGCTTGGATCCCATCATTGCGAGCTCAAGGCCCCAGGAATGAAAACAGACAAGAGTGGGAGCCAAACACATGTCTCACTTCCCAACCGCAAAGACCGGAGAGCAAGGCGACAACAGGCTCCTCGGGCTCCCCTCGCCAGCCTTGAGCGCTGGGCACCATTCAGGCTCTCACTCAGCAAGTGGTCATCCCGCACCTGCTGAGGGCCGGCTTTCATTGTCCTCCCAGGCACACCTGCAGGGTCACTTTGTGCACGCCACAGGCTACCCGTCACCCCCACGCAGGGAGACAACCAGACAGTGCACCCGGTGCCTGGCAAGGAGCAGGCAGCAGGAGGTGGCCGTCAGCACCAGAGCGCTCGGGCCATCCCTCAGGCTTCTGTGCTACTGGCTCTGCCTGTCTGTCCCCCACCCTGGACTGGCTCCTTGCACGAAGCCCAGCTTAAGCTAAGCACACAACATCTCCTGAAGGAAGGAGGGAGGGTTCTCAAGTCGGAGCAGGCAGAAGACAGAGAAGTTCCACATCACCCCCAGGGCAGGCAAACCCCAAAATTGGGCAGGAAAGGAATAATTCGACCTCTGAGGTTTTCCGAACCCAAGGTTGTTGGTTTGTGTTTAAGGAGAGCTGCCGTTGTAGAGCTTCCGACCTTCCCCGGACGTCAAGGCTGCGTGGTAAGAACGACTTTCCCATTTCATAGCTGAGGAAGTCAAGGTTGGGTCACGTGGTGAGCCTTGCCCTCCACCGCCAGAGTGGTCAAGGTCTTCAAAGAGGGAACCAAGCGCCACGTCTTGGGGTCAGGCGGCAGGCGCCATGCCTCGGGGAGAGGGGTCAGGAGGCAGGCGCCACATCTCAGGGTCAGGCAACAGGTGCCATGTTTTGGGGTCAGGTGACAGGCACCATGTCTCGGGGTCAGGAGGCAGGCGCCATGTCTCAGGGGTCAGGAGGCAGGTGCCACGACTCAGGGTCAGGCGACAGGAGCCACGTCTCGGGGTCAGGCGACAGGAGCCACGTCTCGGGGTCAGGAGGCAGGTGCCACATCTCAGGGGTGAGGTGACAGGCACCACGTCTCAGGGGTCAGGAGGCAGGCGCCACGACTCAGGGTCAGGAGACAGGCACCACATCTTGGGGGTCAGGTGACAGTGCCACATCTCGGGGTCAGGTGACAGGCCCCGTACCATGCAGAATCCTCTCCACGTCCTTCGCGGAGCTTCCTGTGCCTTGGGCCAGGGCCGCCAAGTACAGCTTGGTCAAGGTCTCCGACTGGGAAAGCTGGGACCGATGGAGATCCCACTTGGAGCCCATGCACTCGAGAACCACATCTGGGGAGAGAGAGCAGAGCTGAGCGGCTGCTGGATGAGGTCCCGCCCCCAGATGCACCCCCCCCCCTCCCTGGTTCAGTCGTGGCTGTCAGGCAGGGCATATGGGCGAGCGGCTCCCTGAGGCATTCAGGAAGAGAACGATGAAGTGTGGGCTCCAGGGCTCTGGCACAGGCTCCTACAGGTGCATGGGAGCCATGCACTCAGCAGAGCTGCTGAGCTCAGAGGCGAGCGGGCTGCCCATGGCTAAGGCGTGGAAGGGCAGGAACACTGGTGGGGAACCTCCTCCTGTCTCCCTCCCTCCATCACAGCGCTTCTCAGACTCAGCACTGGAGCTGAGCGCTCCACAGCTGGGCTGGTGGAGTAGCATCCCTGGCCTCTGTCTTCCGGAAGGTGCCAGGAGCGCTCCACTCCCCGGCTGTGACAAGCACAGACGTCCCCAGACATTGCCACGTGTCCCCTGGGGAGCCGCGGACTTCTCGGAATCAAGCCGAGCTGACAGGTGAGACTCCCCCGGCCTCCCCCGGGAAGGGGGCGGACGCTGACTTCAGACAGCCCGTGGTGGGTAGGGTTGGCCCGGGCAGACTCCTCCGGGGACTCCACCATTTTCCGGCTGGACGAACCAAACATGAGTCTCGGTCCTACTTCAGAAAAGTCCCCTTGGACAGGCGCAGATGTGGATGTCTGCACCGTGAGGGCTTAGCGCCCAAAGGGACAGAGGATGGCTTCCTGGGCCCGGGGTGCTCCAATGCGAAGGCTACTGACATCAGCACCTGCAAATGTGTCTGCAAGGCTGGGCTTCACCCCCTGTGTGCTTGGCAAACAGTTACGCATTTACAACGGGTGAGAACTGCAACTTCCGGGTGAGTGACCCGGCCGATGGGCTGGCTTCCTTCCATAAAGACCACGAAGATACCCCGACATCAGAACCATTCTGGTGTCATCCATGGGTGACCAAAACTCACCTGGCTCCCTGCTCTGGATGGACTTGTTCTTGCAATTCTCAGTGAAAAAATCCTGGATTTGAGAAAAGCATAACCTCAAGAGAAAACACAAACAAAAAAGGAGGCATTAACGACCTTTTTCGCCCATTCTAGCGCAAGTGGCCAGAAGCCCCCTTCATGAGCCCTATCGCTGCTCACCCTTTGGGGCTCAGCCTTTGCTGATTTGATCGACAGTGGGAGGATGACTGGCTCACCGCATGGCCCCTGTTTGCAGGCTGTGTGTGGGCTACACCTGGCTGTCTGAGTGACACCTCCTTTGGTGAGAGTTTAAAACAACAGCATGGGGCCGGTGCCGCTGTGGCTCACTTGGCTAATCCTCTGCCTGCAGCACCGGCACCCTGGGTTCTAGTCCTGCTCGGGGTGCTGGATTCTGTCCCGGTTGCTCCTCTTCCAGGCCAGCTCTCTGCTGTGGCCCTGGGAAGGCAGTGGGGGATGGCCCAAGTGCTTGGGCCCCGCACCCGCATGGGAGACCAGGAGAAGTACCTGGTTCCTGGCTTCAGATCAGCGCAGTGTGCCAGCTGTAGCGGCCATCTGGGAGGTGAACCAATGGAAAAAGGAAGACCTTTCTCTGTGTCTCTTTCACTGTCTAACTCTGCCTGTCAACAAAACAAACCAAACCAACAGCATGGAGTAGACACACATACCTGCTGGAGAACAGAGCAGAAGGTTCTGCTCATTTGTGGGCCATAAGCACAGCAAGAATTTTGTTTAGAGTCACACAGTCCCCAGTCTCAGCAGGTCCAAAAGCTAAACTCAGGATCTACCCGGACCCCCAAACCCAACTCCTCCTCCTGGAACCCTGGTGGCGAAGACACCACCAGTCTTCAGCTGCCCACCCATCTGTGTCCCACTGAGCATGGTCACGTCTGGTCACTCGCCTACACTGGGCAAATACTTTTGACGCCGTCCGTCTCTGCCCGATTGCTCGCCCTTCATCCCCTCTCCCCAGTCTCTGCCCAGTCACCTTGCCATTAGCCCTGCTCCCCCTGGGTGCACGCCCCCTACAAAAGGCAAATCTGACCTCACCTCTCTCCCGCTGAGGATCCCCCCGTGTCTCCCCAGAGCTTCTGAGGGACCCAGGCTCCTGCTGGTCTCTGCTGCCTCCCGCTCAGGGCTCCCCCTCCACCGTCTTCATCAGTCCAACCGCAGGCTGCCGCTGCCAAACTTTTGGACTCACGCCTCCGTCTGTCTAAATGCTGTCCTCCTGGTCTCTGCTCTAGGAGAGCTCCTATGCATCTCTCAGAACAAGCTGAGCTGTGGCTTTCCCTGGGGAGCTGGGCCAGTGGCCCTTCCCTGCCCACCCCGGCGCGACCCCCATTAAAACTCCTCCTGAAGCATCTTATGGCTGTCCATTGACTGGTGCATCCCTTGCTGCCCCCCACCCCTGAGCCTGGGCCATGTGGGGGGCGGGGCTCAGTCGACACCCATGGCATGACCGGTTGATAAAGAGATAAGAGGCTTTCCCACAGCGCGATGCACTCGTCCTGGTGCACGAGGGAATTAAACTCTGAGTCTCATATTCACAGCTTGGACAGTCGTCCCAAGAGAGCCAACCTGGCGACCCCAACAGGTCTGGATAACGTAGTGTTGACTTTGCCACACTAGATGCCAAGGATCCCAGCAGCCCTCAGGGCCACAGTACATGCAGACAGCTTGGGAGGGGCGGAGCCTGTGTCCCGAATAATACTGACCATGTGCTGCCCTTTGCAAGGGGTGAGGATGGCTACAAGTGACTCAGCCCCAGGAAGGCGCGGGGAGCTGGGTTTGTTTGCTCAACAGGAGATGTGGACCTGACCCAAGCCACCCCCGCTCCCTCCCTCAACCCCCTGCCTGCTTGGGTGACACTTCTGGGAAGAGCTGGTCAGGGTCAAGGGTTCAGACCGTGAGCTCAAAATGGAGCAACGGACTTTGGAAAAGATGGGGCGACGCCCACACAAACAGCACGGTCATCGGCTGAGCTCAGCGACGCCGGGCGACAGAGGTGACTGCACGTCCTCCTCCCGATGGCTGCCGGTCAAGGTGAACCACACAGCTCAGCAGACTCCGGGCTGGGCTCACTTTAGGACCATTGGGAAAACACGGAATAAACAGCATCCAGGAGCTGTTCTCTTCGCTGTTTGGGACAAAACGGCCTGAGATAAAGTAGCGGGGAATGAGCTGTTGGGGGGCTCCCCGCCCCAAGTCATGGCCTGTGCTGGAGAAAGGAGGGAGGGAAGGGGACACCCCCTGCATTTCTGGGGACATACGGGCTTCTGGGGCAAGCTATCCAAAGGCTTTGGCTTGATGCCTTGAACATGCAAAAGTTCTGTTTGACCAACTGAGGAGACCAACAGGCTTGGGGCCAGATCCCAGTCCTTCCACTTTCCGCCACGTGACCTTGGACCACGTTCTCACGTGGCGGCTGTCGGGTGTCAGGAGGAGGGCGAGAGCGGCTGGCCTGCATCCCTGCTCTGAGCGTGTGTGCGGTCCACACGTGCCCTGGTGTTCCTGCTGTAGCATGGAGCCTTTCGCCAGTCCTGCTCTGTCCAGACGTCTGGGGTCCCTTCTCGACACCCTCGCCTCTCTGCAGGACCACCTCAGAATGAACCTGCACCGCAGGCAGGACGGGAGAAAACATCAGGCAGTGCCCCAGCCGAGGATCAGGGAGGGATGCAGCCTCCAGGGTAGCTGGAAAAGAAGTTAGCATGTGTTCTCTCAGACCACACTCTGGGCCCCAGGCCTGCGGGATCTGTTGCGGTGTGAACAGGATTTGTCTTCCTCAACTTGTGCAGGCACTTCCTCCCCAAAGTTTTATGTTACTGGTTAACTGCGCAATGTTAATGGTTGATGACTTAAGGTGGAGACTTTATCCAGTTCTGAGCTCCGAATGTGGGCCTTGGGGAGAGACTGCGTTGGGTGAGGTTGCCTGGGTGGTGGCCCGGGACGGACTCTCGATGCGCTTACTAGGAGAGACCATACAGAGGGTAGGGGATGGTGCGCTCCCGTCCCTCTGCTCCCTGGCTTGTCTCATGGTCTACCCTCTGCACACACTCTAATTCGTCAGATACCGTCCACTGGGGGCACCTGACTTCGGACTGTGAGCCTCCAACATGAAACCTTCTCCCTCCTAACAAGCTCCTGGCAGCTATCTTAGTTGCAGTAGCGAGAGTCTCTGCCGCTTTCCACCCAGAGCAACCCTTCCCTGAACTGATACAGGTTGGTCTGCTCCAGTCAAGGCGGACAGCGCCCCCTGGTGGGAGAAGCAGCAGCATCACCTACAAGGCCGGCGCAGAGCCTTGAGCAGGGCCTGGGGATACAGGGGTGGGTGTGGAATGGAACAAATCCAGACCCACAGCAACCCTGGGCTGTCTTCTGAGCATCCCCTGATGCCCAGAGGGACAGTGTGTTACCAGGAATAAGACTCCTCTGTTATTACCTAAATGAAATAATTTATCTTATCTGTCAAAGTAAAATACTGGGGGCCGGCGCTGTGGCGTAGCGGGTAAAGCCACCACCTGCAGTGTCAGCATCCCATATGGGCATCAGTTAGAGTCCTGGCTGCTCCATTTCCTATCTAGCTCCCTGCTATGGCCTGGGAAAGCAGTAGAGGATGGCCCAACTCACTGGGCCTCTGCACCCACATAGGAGGCCCGGAAGAAGCTCCTGGCTCCTGGCTTTGGATCAGCACAGCTCCGGCCATTGCGGCCAATTGGGGAGTGAACCAGAGGATAGAAGACCTCTCTCTCTCTGTCTGCCTCTCCTTCTCTAATTCTGATTTTCAAATAAATACATACATTTTTTGAAAATGTAAAATATAAATAAAGTTTTTGTATCCAAGAGGTTTCTTAAAATCACATGGGATAAGAGCTGATTGATAATACAAAGGAAACACAATCTGTGTTTCTCAGAGAAAGCAGGTCCCTCCCACGCTGCCCCAGTGGCCCCGGTCCTCCCCACTCTGTGTCCACACCTTTGCTCTTAGGACTGCAAAGTCAAGTGTGGCCGAGTGACTGTCTTGGCTATGGCACATGGATGTGACTTGGCAGGTTTAGAAGGTGCCTGTGCAACGGAGCTGCCCTCCTGCTCTCTGTTGATTCCATGATGAGCACATGCCCAGGCTAGCCCACTCTCTCAGAAGGAGAAGGAGAGGCCCAGGCTATTCCACTGTCTCAGAGAGAGGAGGAGAGGCTCCCGGAACAGAGCCCGGGTGCCACTGTGGAACCGAGCCTGGAACAGCTGCCTGCCCAGTCCCTCCTGGTGTCAGCTCCTGTGACCCCGGTTGCCCTGCGCCACAGTGGAGGTGGGCGCATTTGCAAAGCTACCCCCAGGAAGACAACAGCCAGCCAGGTTCCCTGCAGCTGCCGTGTTGGAGGCAGGTGCTAAGAAGCAAAGTGAAGCACGCAGTTGTTGGCTGGCAGAGCGCACATTAACCCACCCAGGAATTGGTGACTAAAACTGCTGCTCGGGGGATGCAGATAAAAGCACTCGCTATGGAGCACCGGCTGTGAGCCAGGAACAGGGCTCAGCATTTTCAATACCCTGTCCGACTTAATGCTTAAGGTAACCATTGCACAGACAGGAAACTGAGGCTTAACGAGGCTTAGCTGGTAGCTAGAGGGCACAGAGCCAGCAGGTGGTGGAGAGGGGATGCCAGCTCTGATGGGCTGCTTCGAGCAGTCCTAATGACCCGACCATCTGCCAGTCTCCTCCAGTTTCCGCACCCACCCCCAGCTTATCTCAGCGATTCCACAACCAACCCTGGAGAACTTCACCCCTGCTTCCCAGCCCGCCCCCCATCAGTCTGGGGTCACTTTGCTCTATTGCCAGGCCCAGACACAGTGCCTTCTCCCCAGCCTGGCCCTGGACCTGAGGAACTGGGCACCAGAGCAGTGGCGGCCAGTGGCTCTAGGGAGGGAGGATTTCGCCACTTGTTCAGCAAGCATCAAGCAAGGGGCTCCCTGTGCCTGATATGGCTGTAGGGGCACAGCCTGTGACCGTGAGGTCACAGATACCCCTGTGGCCTGGGCAGGGCAGAAGCATCAAGTCAGGTCCAAAACATCTGGAAACAAAGTGACCTTCTGCAGTGGGGCCAGCTCAGTGTCCCCCAGGAGGTGACAGGGAGAGCCCCTGACACGGGGAAGCAATGGTCTAGCCTGTGACTCCGCACGCTTTAGCGTTGAGAGGGCATCAAGTGATCGAGCAGAAATGGGTATTTGGGAGAGGGGCTCGAACACTGGGCCATGGTTGAGTTGGTTTGCCAGGAAATCAGCTGGTTCCTGGAGGCCTGTTAGGGCTCCAATTCCCAATGCAAAGGAAAATTTAGAAAACCCTCCTGAGTTTCTCCATGGACTGTTGTCACCACCCGCAGAAGCTGTCACAAGAACTGGTCACTTCTGACCCTGTCCATGCCCTGGCGGGACAGCCCACATAGCCAGAGGCGCCAACGCCAGGCCCCTGCCCCCAGGAATGCCCTTCCCTGCCATGGCCTTTGGTTCTTTACTTGTCTGGGTTCTTCATAATATCATCAAAGTCGACACCCACAGCCTTGCACATCTGGGACAGCGCCAGCAGGTCCCCGCAGAAGGGCTCCTTGGGGATGCGCCAGCGGTTGGTCGAGCCGACGATCCTTCGCTCCAGCCGGTCTTTGTGCTGTGCCGCAATCAGGGAAAAAGAAAAATTTTAAACGTCACATAAACGGCACATTTCCCAAATGGCACAGCAGACAGCAGATCGAGATGGATTTTTAAAATACTGGTCCAAGTTCAAGCGTGCACAGTATTCCCCACAGGGCATCTCCTCGAGGTAAAGTGCCGCGGTCCAGGCTGAGGGTTGCGAGCTACACAGTGATTTGGGATCTAGGACCTGGGATAGGAGATGCCTGAGGCTAAAGGTCAGGGAGAAAGATGGTTTCTTTGTGGGTAGCTCTGAAGAAGCCACCAGCAGGGATGGGGTTAAGCCCCCAAGTCCAGTTCTGGAAGTCCTTGTCCTGACTCTGCAGAGATGGGGGCAGGGGCCTTGTGCACTGTGGTAAAATACCCAACACACACACCTGCGCACCTGTGGCATTTGTTATGTCTACTACGCTGTGCACCCGTCACATCTGCTCCAGACACTTTCTTTACCCCAAAACCAAACCCCGTATTCACGAGGCAGTCACAGCCCACGCCCCTTTCCTCGGCCCCTGGCGACCACTAATCTGCTTTCTGAGCCCAGGGATTCGCCTGCTCTGGATTTTGTGAGTGGACTCGCACACTACGTGGCCTTTTGTGTCCAGCTTCTCTCATTCATGTAAGGTTTCCAAGGCTCGCCCCTCTATAGGGATTCACCCTTTCTAGGGCTGTATAATGCTCCACCACGTGGATAGACCGCATTCTGTTTATCCTCCCGTCGGTCGGCAGACACTGGGTCATTCTTATCTTCTGGCTGTTGTGAACAGCGCTGCGCTCAGGGTTTGTGCGTGGGCGTGTTTGCACACCTGTCCTCCATTTCTCTGGATTATGTCTGCGGGAGTGGAACCGCTGGCTCCCTGGGCAGAGGCCTTTACCCAGACGTTTCCCTGAGCTGCAGTGGAAATTCAGCAGCTTTTCTCAGGGAACAGGAGAATCGTCAGCCCGGATGGCGCCCAGCGAGGAGGGAGCACCACAGGCTGCCTGCGGAAGGACGCGACGCTCGTCAGCCACCCGAGCTCCAAGAGAATGGGCAGGGACCACAAGCCACGGAGTGGAGGAGCTGGGTTCAAATCTTGCTGTTTAATGCCACGTACTGGGTGTGTGAACTTGGGCAAGTCATGTCAGCTTCTGACCCTCTCAGTCCAAATAAGTAAAATGAGAATGTTGACGATGATGGTGGTGATGGTGGTGGTGGTGATGGCAACAGCGGTGATAATGGTGATGGTAGTAGTGACGGCAATGGTGGTGGTGGTGGTGCTGGTGGTGGTAGTGGTGGTGCTGGTGATGTTTTCAAGAAAATAATAAGATAAATACATAAAATCTGTGAAATGTGCTGAAGTATCGTTCCCAGAATTTGGTCAGTGATTGAAAACTATGGAATAAGTCTAGGTATTGTCCTGCGGTGGTGTGAGATGCGGGTCGTGTTCAGATGTGGGGTGTGCTCTTCTGGAAGGCACTGCCTGGACACGCTCTAACAGAATCAGCCTCGGGGCGCGGTCCTGGGCAACACCACGGGACCCCAGCTGTCTTCTCCTCCCTCCCCGTTACCTGCCTTCGTGTGCGATGACCCACTCACCGGATTCAACATTTTCGTGATGGTAGCAGAGATTACAAGGGGGGAAGCTCAGCACCTGGAAGTTAAAAGAACTAAAAGTGAAATTGTCAATGAATTTCCAAAGGGGCTCTTCAAAATACTGTGGGCAAGGTTGGCCTAAAGAAATTACCTGCGTGTTGGGGTTGGCATTGTGGTGCCGTGGACTAAGCTAACATGTGGGACCTGCATCCCACACTGGGTGCTAGTGCGACGCCCAGCTCCCCCGCCTCTGATGCAGCTCTGTGCTGCTGTGCCAGGAAGGCAGCAGATAATGTCCCAAGTACTGAGGTCCCTGCCCCCCACGTGGGAGACCCAGCTGGAGTGCCCACTCCTGCCTTTGGCCCAGTCCGGTCCTGGCTATTGTGGGCATTTGGGGAGTGGACCAACAGATAGAAGTTCTCTCTCTGCCTTTCAAGTAGATTAAAATAAATATGTTTTTAAAAAGAATCTATGTTTTGCCATACAAGTGGCAAAATATACATAATTATACAAAATATACATAAGCATACACATAAGCTTCAAATGTGGGCTGTTTACCAAACAAGGGAACATCTCATATTTAAAAGCATGTTGGTGACTGGTAATTCCCTGCTATTGTGCTAGAAAAAAGCATGGCTCAGGCAAAGCAAACCAAAGCAGGAGGCAACCTTGCAAGGTGAGGACGACCACAGGTTGGCCATCAGCAGGCTCGCGGTGCCAGTCACCCCGCAGACCAGGAGACTAGAGGGGTGAGAGCGAACGGTAAAGCAGGGCTGCCCTGGAGTCTGGTGAGCTTATGTTCACCTTCGCTCAGAGAGTAATGAGAGAGGGCGAGCAGGAGGACTTTCTCGCTGTCCTCAACGTTATTAAGAAAGTTCGGCTGCAAACAGAACTCATCTGATAAACGGTGTGCAAACAATAACAGGGAGGGTGGCGATAGGGCGAGGGTGCTCATGGAATCAAGGGAGGACTGAAGAATCTTCTCTGGGAAAGAGCAGGGAGCAGCTGCAGGTGCCAGTGGCTCCCGTTGCCAAACGCTGCCTCCAGGGTGAATCAGCACCCTGAATTTGGGTCTTGGTGTGTTTATTTATTTATCTTAGATATTTATTTATTTGAAAGGCATTGTAAAAGAGAGAGAGAGATCTTCCATCCGCTGATTCACTCCCCAGATGGTCACAATGGATAGGGCTGGGCCAAGTCAAAGCCAGGAGCTTCATCCTGGTCTCCCACCTGGGTGCAGGGGTCCAAGGACCTGGGCCAATCTTCCACTGCTTTCCCAGGCACATTAGCAGGGAGCTGGATTGGAAGTGGAACAGCCAGGAGAAAAAACAGTGCCCATATGGGATGCCAGTATTGCAGGCAGCAGCTTATCCCGTTATGCCACAACACTGAGCCCCCCTCCATTCTTAACAGGTGCGCCTGTAGGTCAGAGCCACACCCTGTGACCTCAGGGCAGGCACCTTGATTACCTCTTCCAGAAAGGCAGTGGGGGGCTGGGTAGTTCCCCAGAGCCACAGTAGGGAGGAGAAGGGGAATGGATGCACACGTGAACCCAGAAGGAGCCCACACACTCGTGGATCAAGAACCTCAGCTGACTTCAAGCTTCGCACCCCAAACAGCATTTCACCTGCGACGCAACCGCACAGCGGGAAGTGGCTCAGTTACTCCCAGTGAAGTGTTTTCCGTGTAGCTGCCGTGTGGACACAGCAATGAGAAAATGGGTGTGAGCTCTGCCTCCTCCAAGTCCCGGCCCCACCTGGGCAGGTAGGCCCTCCTTTCCCTTTAATTATCTTTTCCAGGTTTCTTAAACTGCAAAGCAGTGTATTTCATTGTAACCAGTGAACCAATGCAAAGACAGGCCAAGAAGGCAGGAGCCAGGTGCTTCTCCTGGTCTCTCATGGGGTACAGGGCCCAAGCACTTGGGCCATCCTCCACTGCACTCCCGGGCCACAGCAGAGAGCTGGCCTGGAAGAGGGGCAACCGGGACAGAATCCAGTGCCCGACCGGGACTAGAACCTGGTATGCCGGCGCCGCAGGCAGAAGATTAGCCTATTGAGCCGCAGTGCCAGCCACTATAATATTTCATGCTGTAGATGCCTCATTATTTGTTAGATGTTCCCTGTAATAGCCGTTAGGCTATTTCCCGTAACCCCATACACATTCACACACAGGTGCAAACACGGAATTAGGGCAGTTTGTATATGTTGTACGTGGATACATGTTTCCTTATGTACCTAAACCTGTATATGTCTGTATCTACTTATCCTTATGTGTTACTGCTTTTATTCTTGCAGGAGATTCTTCAAGGTGGGACAGATACGTCAGAGAAGTGTATCTTTAGTTGAGACAGATCAAGCCATCTCCCTTTCCCAAACATTCCAGTTCCAGCAATTTCCATTTCTAACACCCGTTTGTAATGCTCTCTCCCACGCCACCTCCAGTGCCAGGGGTGGACATTCATTTCCATTTGCCAGTCTGGAGAGTGACAGATCGGTTCGGATTGCTATTTGAACTTCCCAGGCCACCAGCAAGGTTGCGTGTTCTTTTATATATTTATTGGCTTTCTGATTTCCTTATCTGCAAATTGCCTAATTACAGGCCTTGCCCGTGTTCCCCGTGGGGTTGCTGTAGTGACCTTGCATTTCCAAGAAGCTCTCTCTGTAGGGTCCCAGGAACTCTGACCTCTGCCTGCCATACAGTGTTGCAAATGACTGCCTGCCTGTAGCATTTGTCTTTTGACTGTTTTGCTACACCTATTGCTAATCGGGGTGCGGAAAGGGGGGACTGGTCAAACACCTACACAGGTGCTCAGTCCCTTTGACCACCCTGAATTTCTCCCCTTTGGTAGCAAGTCCACCTGTTTCCCTTTATGGCCAGGTTTCCTCCTCGCACAGGGATACAGATGGAATTCTCTGAACCCTTCCTACACCCGAGGCAGCCTGGCCTTTAGCTCCCCCGCCTACAGCCCCTTACCAGCGTCCGTTGATGGAACTCCCAAGCCCTCCCAGTGTGTCTGAGAGAAGAGGGTTCCATTCCAACGCAGCCTGGAGTGCTCAGAACAAAGCCCAGCCAGACAGGACTGTGCCCCCCCCATCCCGCCCCTGGAGATCCGTATCAGCACCGAGAGGAGGCTGCGGGTCCCCCTGAGCTACCCAGCCTCCTGCTCTCTGTGAGTGTTCTGGCTGATGTGGAGACCAGGGGTATCTCAGTGTGAGGGCCTGCGTCCCCGCAAGTGGGCAGGGGCTACCCGCGTGGTCCCTGAGCCCCAGACCCCCCCCCCCAGCCAGGAATCCCCAACGCCCCTCCCGCCAGTCCCAGCAGTTGTCACCAGACGCCCTCCCTGGTCTCTAACGCCCTCCCTGGTCTCTAACGTCCTCCCTGGTCTCTAACATGGACGAAGGGGCCGGTCCCACTCACAGTTCTGAGGCCCTCCGGCCCAGGCCGTGTGTTTGCGGCGGAGGTGCCCTGGGCTGCACTGCTTTCTGAGTGGCAGGAGAGCTGGGGGCTGGGCACTTTCGGAGCCTGAATCTGGAAAGCTCTCATGACACCTGGGCTCCCCCTGTCTTCTTATGGGCCCCAGGGCTCTGGCAGCGGGGAGCCTGCCTTGGGTTTCCTGGTTGGGGGGTGGGCGTTGTGGGCACCATGGCAACGTCAGGGAAGATTCCAAGTGCTTCCTGTTCCTGGTTCCGGCACAGGTGCGGCTGCATCCCAGGCCCTGCCCCTGGAGCTACGCTTCCCACAGAGACCAGCTGGGGATCCATGCATCCCCCCAGGACACCCTTGTTCCCCATAGCACCTGGGGCTGCCTGGGAAACCCCCTGAAAGGGCCTCAGTGGGGTTCAGCGCCAAACCCGCAGCCTGGGTGGGGGAATGAGAAGATGGGAGTCTCTCTGGCTCCAGCAGGCTTGGGGGGGGTCTTTTTGTAGCATTTGGTACCCATGAATATTTTGACAAAGAAAATTTCAATAAAAATTAGGGTTCTACATTATTAGAAGCTATGCCAATGAGTTTCACTGTGAGTGGGTAGTTTTAAAAATTATTTACTTGAAAGTTAGACACACAAACACATATGGAGACAGCGAGAAAGCTTCCGTCCACTCCTTTTGTCCCCAGATGCCCACAACAGTTGGAGCCTGGGCCAGGCTGAAGCCAGGAGCCCAGAACTCAATCCAGGTCTCCAATTTGGGTGGAAGACACCCAAGAACTGGGCACCCAGGCCTCACCTGCTGCCTCTGAGGGTGCACATTAGCAGGAAGCTGGGATGGGACCAGAGCCGGGACCAGAACCCAGGCGCTCCACTACGGGATGCGGAATCCCAAGCAGTGCCTTACCCACAGCACCATACACCCGTCCCAGTGGGTTACGCCCGATCTTCTCTCTCTCGGAAGTTAGAACGTCCTAAAAGTTGAGGACTAGACCAAGCCTCCTCATGCCAGGGGCCAGGGCAGAATTTTTCAATCCTCTGTGAGTGGGTCTGCAAGGGCCAGGCCTGGACAGGGCAGGGTGGGCAGTTTTAGCACCAGTCCTGCTCCCCAGGAAACTTGGTCCATGGAAAGCCTGGACCATGGCTCCAGGGCCTGCAGAGGCTCCAGTCACAGACACAGCTGGCCAAAGTCAACGCAATGGGGCGGGGCGGTGGCTAAGGATGAGCACTTCAGAGGCTGCACCTGCAGCCTCTCCTGGGTCAAGTATCTTAGCAGGGAAAGCAGGAAAGCGGCCGCTCTACCCGTCATTGTGTTCTGGAAACTAGAAAACTCTCGACATGAGCGGCACTCGGAACTTGCCTCCCTCTGTAGCCCTCAGATCCTGTGATTCCTCCCCACTGACACCCACATTCTGCGTGGCATGGTTGTTGGTTGCCATGGAATGTTCTGTGAGTCCTGGGCCATCTCTCCACTCCTAGAGCCCCAGGAGCAAGCCTGGCCCACAGTACTCAAGAAACATCTCCAGAATTGCGCCATTGGGTATAGAGGCTGTAACCACCGCTCTGCCTGTGCAGGTGGACGAGCCCTGGCGTGTGTGTGTGTGTGCGTGTGCGTGTGTGTGCACATACATGTGCCTACAAGTATGGTGGAGTCTGCTTCTGCCTGGGTCATAGTCCTGGTGTTTGCACCCAGCGACCAGTGTCCTCGTTAGCTATTGTTGCCATGCACCTGTGTGCTAGGAGCATCTCTGGCTGTTTAAGCAGCCTCCAGGGTACACTTGGGTCCCACGCAACCTCTCTGGCTTGCACATGGACTTGGAGTCCAGGAGTGAAAGGGGAGGGGCTTCATGGGCGCTCACGGCCGACCCTCGCAGCCTCCACCTGCCTAGAGAGCAGTGGGCGCTCAGGTGCTTGTATTGTAGCAGAGCGGCAGCTGGTACAGCAGCCAGGCCTGGAGGGAGGGGCCCAGGAATCTGCTGTTCCCACCTCTCAGCCCAGCTCCCCCCCAGAAGGTCGGGAGAGGGGGGAGGGACAGACACAGAGGGAGAGCATGGTGGCAGAAGAGCAGAGGTGGCCAGGGCTGGGGGCGCTGCCTCTGTCCTACAGACGGGGGACTAAGAGCCCTGGCTGGGACCCCGTCCAGCCTCCCCAAACCCTCAGGGGCAGCACCAGACAGGAAGTCAGCCTCCAACAGGGCCTGCAGGGGCCGCAGGGCCAGAGGCAGAGCCCGTACTCCTGAGCTGGTCCGCCAGCCAGCTCCCTCTCTCTCTGTCACTCGAGAAGCAAAGCATTGTTGTTGTCGTTAGACATGTCTTCTCTTACAAGTGTAGCACTTTTATAGAACAAATTCGAAGGCAAAAACATTGACAATAAAATAATTCGAATTCTACCCAGCTAAGCATCATTAATAGCACATCTATGGGTGTGTGTGTGTGTGCATTTTGTGAATGGGGTCCTTTGCTGTCCAGCCTTTAAGCTGAGTCATTCACTTCGTAAGCCGCAGCAGGTGCAGTTTTTCCCCACGTTCTTGTGTGTGAGCGTTGGTGCTGCCACTGTGACTCCTGGGTGTGGAGACAATGGTGACGGGCGTGAGCAGCCTCTCTGGCTGACACATGGGCTGCTGGAGGTGCAGGCCCGCGCTCTGCAGGGGGATGACAGACTCACGTGGACTTGCAGCTGTGTTCTCCCCCAAGCATCGTAGTGCAATCCACTTCGCTTTCAGTCTGGTCCACGGCTTCCCTCCTAGCAGTGTGCACGTTGGGCAGGCGATGGGGAAGGAGAGGCGTGTCTGTAAATCTGTGCACAAGCACAGACGGGCTGTCTCCACTGCTCCTTCTCCACCCCCAGCTTCCCAGCGAGCCGTCCTGCAATGTAAGACTTCTGTTGAAAATTTTGGGAAGCATCGTCTGGCCCTTTTGATGTCACCCTATCGCTGGGGCACCACTGGGAGCAGGTCCTTGGGCTCCCCCTAGTGGCCACTCCAGGAAAGCATCCCAGGGTGCCACATTCCCCGTTAGCTCAGCCCCTGGTCACAGTCCACAGAGTCTGAGCTCAGGCACCCAGGGCCTGCAGCCCACCCCAAGCTTCTGGCTAAGGACGTGCATGAGCCAGAAGACAGGCAGGGGCCTCCATGAAGGAGAAGCAAAGGGCGGGTGGTGGGCGAGATGAAAAATGAGAAAGGACCTCTAGGTTGGGTCACACAATGGCCACAAACTTGGTGTGCAACCCTGGGAAAGCCCTGGCTTTGTCTCTAGGTGCTGTGGCTTGGATGCATTTGTCCCCAAGGTTCATGTGCCCTCAGCGGGCCTGGTGCCCAGTGTGGTGATGGGAGAAGCGGTGGCCCTCAGGGAGGCGGGGTCTCGTGGGAGGTCATTGGATCGCTGGGGCGCTGCCCTTGGAAGAGATGGTGGCTTCCAGCCTCTCGCTGCCCCCTGTTTCCAGACATGATCTGGAGTTTCTGCAGCTCTCCTGCAACCTGCTGCCGTGTGGTACAGCCAGAACCCTCCCCAGGGCCAAGCCAATGGGGGGACTTCCAGCCAACAAGGCTGTGAGCCACACGCACTTCTTTTCTGTGTGATGTTAGCCTGCCTGCGGTAGTTCCTTATGGCAACAAAATGCAAATACACTGGCTTCAACGTTCTCATCTGCAAATCACTGTTCAGACAAAACCCTGCTCAGCTCCGCTCACCAGGACATCTCACTGCTGGCCTGAGGCCTGCTGTGGTCACCGTTCATTTAAGGGCCATGTCAGTGTCAAGACTGTGCTGGTGGCCTGTGCTGCGGCTCACTAGGCTAATCCTCCGTCTGCGGCGCCGGCACACGGGGTTCTAGTCCCAGTCGGGGCGCTGGATTCTGTCCCGGTTGCTCCTCTTCCAGGCTAGCTCTCTGCTGTGGCCAGGGAGTGCAGTGGAGGATGGCCCAAGTGCTTGGGCCCTGCACCCCATGGGAGACCAGGAGAAGCACCTGGCTCCTGGCTTTGGGTTGGCCCAGCGTGCCGGCCATAGCAGCCATTTGGGAGCTGAACCAACAGAAAGAAGACCTTTCTCTCTGTCTCTAACTTGCTGGGCAGAAATTAATAATTAAAAAGACTGTGCTGGGGGCCTGCTCTGTGGCTTAGCAGGTAAAGCTGCTGCCTGCAGTGCTGGCATCCTCTATGGGCTCTGTTTCTAGTCCCAGCTGCTCCAGTTCTGATCCAGCTCTCTGCTAATGGCCTGGGAAAGCAGTAGAAGATGGCCCAAGTCCTTGGGCCCCTGTACCCAAGTGGGAGACCTGGAAGAAGCTCCTGGCTCCTGGCTTCGGATTGGTGCAGCTCCAACCATTTTGGCCAATTGGGGAGTGAAGCAGGGGATGGACGACCTCTCTCTCTCTCTCTCTCTTTCTCTCTCTCCCCCCTCTCTGTGTAACTCTGACTTTCAAGTAAATAAATAAATCTTAAAAACAAAACAAAACAAAACAAAACAGGAAGCCACCTAAATGGCCACTGACAGATTAGCCAGTAAAGAAAATACGGTGCACACATCCAACGGACTGCTATTCCTTCTGAAAGCCAGAGGGAATGCTGGGATGAATGTTTGACTCAGTGGTTAAGCTGCCGATTAGGGCACCCGCGTTCCTTATTGGGGTGCCGGCTTCAACTCGGCTTCCAGTCCAGCTTCCTGCTAATGCACACACCGAGAGGCAGCAGGCGGTGTCTCAGCTACCTCTGTCCCTGCCGCACAGGGCGACCTGGACTGAGTCCCAGGCTCCTGGCTTTGGCCTGGCCCAGCTCCGACCATTGCTGGCATTTGGGGAGTGAAGCAGCAGATGGAAGATTCTGTGTCCTCCTGCCTTTCAAATACATTTTATTTTTAAAAAGGAGGAAATCCTGTCACAGCCACAACATGGCAAAACCTTGTGTTCTCTATTTTAAGTAAAGTGAAGCCTGATCGTACTTATATGAGGTCAAATTCCTCGAGACAGCAGAATGGGGTTTGTCAGGAGCTGGGCGAGGGGAGTTGTTCTGTAGCTACAGCGTCAGTTTTGCAAGGTGGGAACATTCTAGAGCGTGGCTGCACAGGATGTGTACAGTTAGCAATGCCGTACACTTACAGATGGTCAAGGTGGCAGATGTTGCAGTCTTTTACCCTAACAGTAAAAAAAGTGTGAAGAGCAGAAGTTGCCAAAAAAATGTTGACGTTCGTGTTTGAGAGGGAAGGGGTGGGAGAGGAGAGGAGAGGAAGGGAAGGGGAAGGGATTAAGGGAGGGAAGGAACGAGAGGGGGAGGGCGACAGCAACAGCAGCGCCCCCCCCCCAAGACCAAAGATGAGGACAAAGGAGCAACTGCTGGGCGGCCCGTCCTCGCCTGACCCCCATCACCTGCCTGTCCACCCCAGCAGCCACGGTTTCTCTCTCCTGGAGCCAGTGCCTGGGAGGGAGCTGTCTGGGCAGCTAGGGTTCCTCTCCCCTGGAGCCAGTGCCTGGGGAGGGAGCTGTGTGTAGGGTGCTCCCTGGGATAACCCTGGGCCCCTTGGATCTCACTCCCCTGGGGGCTGAGTCCCAAACTTGAATGGAAAATAAACCCCAGCAATCCATCCTCTCTGTAGTCACCAGTGACTGCCGCCTGCTTCCTACCCCACACCCTCTGTGTGTACAAGGCGACCGTAGCATAGCAGCAAAGCCACCTTTAACCAGACAGCCAGGGGAATTCTGAGCCACACCCCCCCAAAACTCAGAAACTCAAGACTTCAACTGACTCGGCAAACTGAGGGTTTGTCCCCGAGACACCGAGAAGTCCACAGTTGCTTGGGGAGCGCTGGATGAGCCAGGTGCCTGCTGCCTGTGCCCTTCCTGCTGACCCAGGCAAGCCGGAAGCTGTAGACAGAATCAGCAGCCGCGCTGTGGGTGAGCGCGTGCGAGTGCCCACGGCGTGGGGTAAAGTAAGTGCTCCGATGGGTCCCGGACACCAGTGCTCCAGCGGGTCACTAACTGTGCAGACTTGGGCCGAGGGTAAGTGACCCTCCATCACACGGCTAGAGGTGGCAGAGCTGAGGTCGCACTGTCTGGCTGCCTGGGGGGTGGGGGAGACTCCCTCACAGCTCCCGGCTGTAGCCATCTCAGCCAGCACCCTGACTGAGGGGGGCGCCCCCGTCTGCTGTGTGTCTGGCCTTGACCCGGACCTTTAACAGTCTCAAGAGAGAAGCCAGGTGACTGGAGGAGCGATGCAGTGTTTTCTGTAGCAGCCGAGGGACTGAGCCGCATCCTAGCAATGCTGCGGTCTACAGCCAAGCACGAAGGGCCCAAGGCTGGGCATGGGACTTGTGTTTGTGCCCCGGGCTGGGCTGACAGGAGACAGAGCACTTCTTGGGCGCTGGACTGCATATCCCAAAGCAGAGAGAGTGGAGAGGTGCAACCCCAGTGGAAGGCACTTTGGTAATGGGCATCCCAGACTTGACAGATGTGCACACCCTGTGAGAAGGACCAAGACAGCCCCTGGCACCCGGGAGCCGGCCTGGTGCTCACAGCTGGGCATCGGCCACAAACGATGGCACAGAACGTGAGCCACCCTGGCCGTGATGCCTCCAAGAATCCCCAAGACCACTCGCTGCCTGTGTGAGCAGTCGAACCTGCACGGGATCCAGGGAAAAAGGACGAAATAGCTCCATCCCGTCTAACACGAACGTACTTCAAAAAGCTTGTGGAAAGATGGAACTGTAAGGTTAGCCTGGGTGCAAAAATAAAACCGGTGAAATCCATGTGTAGTTTTTCCATAACGTGCATTTTCCATGAACTTTTTGAAGACTTCCTGTGTGAGCGGCTGTTGCTTCCTGACCAGTTGCAGCCTTGCCCGACTCGTCTCCTCTCCTAGATCAGCTGCATTTCATGGAGACAGCAACCAACAGCTTCCCTAAACCCTCCTCCAGAACCCCCAACCCCAAGTCCAAATCCAAGTCCCTATGGAAATGTCTCATGGCTCCCCCTGGTGTCTGTCTTGCTTCACTGCAATGAGCAGTAAACCCAACTTGCTTCTGGCTGCAGTGCAGTGACACCTTTGGGCAGTGACCCACTTTTAAGGACTCAGACGAAAGAAACACGATCCTCAAGTGCATTTGTAATGACCGCAAAACCTCTGAGCGCGATATCAATGCCCACCAGCAGGGGTCAGTTAAACACATTTTGGTATCATGGACTAGTATGCAGCCATTCCAAATGGTAACAGAGCTGCAGTTAGGGGTGTATTTTTATTTTTGGACAGGCAGAGTTAGACAGTGAGAGAGAGACAGAGAGAAAGGTCTTCCTTTTTTCCATTGGTTCACCCCCCAAATGGCTACTATGGCCGGCGCTGCGCCGATCCGAAGCCAGGAGCCAGGTGCTTCTCCTGGTCTCCCATGGGGTGCAGGGCCCAAGCACCTGGGCCATCCTCTACTGCCCTCCCAGGCCACAGCAGAGAGCTGGCCTGGAAGAGGGGCAACCGGGACAGAATCCGGCGCCCCGACGGGGACTAGAACCTGGAGTACCGGCGCCGCAGGCGGAGGATTAGCCAAGTGAGCCGCAGCGCTGGCCAATTAGGGGTGTAAAAGGTTACTGTGACATGATGGCCACACTGCAATATTATGGGGGAAAAATGTTACAAAATGGGACACAGGACGACTGCAGATGGCTCCACAGTGTGGCACTGCATCGCTCCCAAATATCCCTTATTTACAACAAACAAGTCAGAGTTGATCGACCAGGAAAAAAGGCATCAGAAGATCCGTGAAAACGTTAACAGTCTCCGGCTTAGGGACTATGGGCTTCTTTTTTCTTACTTGAATCTCCAAGTTTTTAGTCATGAAAATGCTTTGCTTGAATAAGAAAAATAAAAACTTTCCAGAGACAAAAGCAGGGCTGCTCCGAGGACACAGCTGAGACCAGGGCAGGGCAGGGGCTCTGGAAGCAGGGTCACGGCTGGGCCCTGAGGGCAGGAGTGGCCGGGGGCTGGGCAGCGGGAGGTGCTCGTCAGGTGTGGGGCTGGAGGCAGACCCCGCGGGACGGAGGCCAGGAGAGTAGCAGGAACAAGACAAACGGTCTCAGAGCCCCAGAGGTTACCAGGCATCCTCCACTGTGTAAGTCCTGGAAGAGAGCCCCCCTCCTCATGCCACCCCATCCCTTGACAGTAGGGCTGTGGAGGATCTGTGCTATTAGGGGGTGGGGGTGGCCCTGTCATGAGGGGCGAGGCCACAGCTGCTGCGCCTGGGGCAGAGAGAGGGACACTGGGCTGAGGGGTCTGCTTTCCACATCTTCACCCCGCGCCACACCAGCACTCAGACGTCCACATCCTAAGCTCCACCCCTGGGAATGTGACCGTATTTGGAAATAGGGTCTTGATGGATTAACTGGGGATACAGGTGAGATTATCCTGGGTTTAGGGTGGGCCCTAAGTCCAATGACCACTGTGCTCATAAGAGAGAGGGGCTGGCATTGTGGCATAGCAGTTTTATAAAGCTCCTGCCAGCAATGCCGGTGCCCCATATGGGTACCGGTTCGAGTCCCAGCTGCTCTGCTTCCAATCCAGCTTCCTGCTAATGTCCTGGGAAAGCAACATGATGGCCCAAGTCCCTGGGCCCCTGCACCCACCTGGGAGACCTGGAAGAAGCTTTTGGCTTCAGTCTGGCCCAGCTCTGACTGTTGTGACCATTTGGGGAGTGAACCAACGAACAGAAGATCTGTCTCTCCCACTCTAACTCTGTGTTCCAAATAAATAATTTTTTTTTTTTTTAAATTTAAAGAGAAAGGAGACCTGACACACGGAGAACACTGAGGCAGTGATCTGAGGGCTACAGCTCCAGGCCAGCGCACAGAAAGGGTGGCCGGGGCCAGGAGAGAACCTCCTCCCAGGGAACCGATCCTCCCCCAGAGGGAGCCAGCCCTGCCTGTGCTTTGATAATGGACTTCCGGCTCCAGATCACAGAGGGGACATTGCTGCTGTTACAAGTGCTAGGCTTGTGGTGATCTGCTAGCAGCCTATGGACACAAATACACAAATACATCCCTAATGCCCCTGCCCTTTGGCCCAGCAGGCTGGGAGCAGCAGAGAACTGGACAGCAGCCACGTTGCTGAGTGGCCTGGTTGCCTGTCTCCCATCAGAAACTGCTCACCCTTCTCCAGCCATTTGCAGGGGAGTGAACAATGCTTCAGGGTTGACATTCACTCACTAAGGGACCGGACAGAGGCATGACACTGCTGCAACCTTGACCCAATAAATGGAAATCGATTTTGCCTTCTAAAGTCAATGAGGCATTTAAAACCCCAAATCTAAGCAAATCTAATGCATTCACTTAATTATTTACGTCGTGAGTCAATATTTCTCATTAGCTTCATGGTACAGAGCCAGCCATGGTAACAAAAAGGAAATGTGATTGAAACCTACAAAGAAATCTGCAGCACAGAAACACAAGGGCCAAATCTGATATTACTTAACAAAGGCAAGGAACGGCTCAACCCTTCCCAGCAAATAAATCAGAGCCACACTTGTTGCCAAGATCCAAAGAAAAAAATTTATTTACAATAGAGAATTTTATTTGAAACATGCATTTTTTTAAAACAAATCAACAAATGCAGATCAAGTTTAACTCCTTAAGGCAAGAGTCCCTATGCACGCTGTACATGTCATACGAAGTCCAAAAGGGCTCACCCTGGGAACCTGGATACAAAGGGCAAAGCCAGAGTCAAAATGTGTCTTTTACTAGAGAATCAGACAATCTCCCTGATACAGGAACTCTGAGGTCACCTTGCTATGAATGAGTCTAGGAAAATGCAAACCAATAGCAAGAACTTCCGATCGTCTCCCTAGTACTGCATACAATCAAATCAACTTTATTTAGAAAGGAAACACAGTAGTGCATACAAAAAAGTGAAAGCCACCCTCCCACGTGACTGGAAGACGGCAGTGTGCCGACGGTCATATTGCACGCAACGGTCAAGTCCAAACATTTGGTTGAAAGTTAGCTCTTCCCCATTTTGGCGATCAGTTCATCACAAATCTTGGTGAGTTCTTCAATCTCTTTGTTCTGAAAATGAAGACAAGAAAGAGGTTGTTGGGGCCGGCACTGTGGCGCTGTGGGTTAAGCCGCCACCTGCAGTACTGGGATCCCATATCAGAGTGCCGGGTTGAGTCTCGGCTGATCTGTGCCCATCCAGCTCCCTGCTACTGCTCCTGGGAAGGCAGCAGAAGATGGCCCGAGTGCTTGGGTCCCCGCCACCCACGTGGAAGACCCGGATGAGGTTCCAGACCAGAGCCGTGTGCCTTCTGGTTCCACATCCAGGCTGCTGGTGCTTTTCATCCCAGACTCAGGGCTGGCATCAAGCGGGGGCTTCAGTGCGGACACACCAAGCACGCGGGGTGCCGGCTGCACCCGGAGGCCAGGGCCCGCGCCCTCTCACCTTCTGCTCCAGCGTCCTCTCCAGTGCGTCCACGCGCAGCTGCTCCTTCCGCAGGCTGGCCTGGTAGGCGGCCTGCTCCTGCTGGGCCTTGCCTCGGACCTGGGCGATCTCAGCGTTGGCCCTGTGGGGACCGGGGGCCCAGAAAGGTCACCGCAGGCACCTTCCGCCGCCTCCCCCCAGTGCTGGGTGGGGGCCGGTCTGGCTCTGGAGCCCACCAACCGGGGCTCGGGGAGGGAGGAGCCCTGATCACAGAGCTCAGGTGCTATCCACCCGCCCCAGGCCCGCCAGGGGAGCCGTGGCAGCCCCAGCCTGCTGGGGACGGCTGCCTCACCTGTCCAGCTTCTCCTCTGCGTGCACCTTCAGGGCCTGGTACCTCTGCTCCTCCTTCTTCACGCGGGACAGGTACTCCTGTGCACACTTCTTCAGTACCTCCTCATTCTGACACAACAGACGGGCGTCAGCGCCCAGAAGGCTTGCCAGGTCCAAGATCGCCCGCCACAGTGCAGCCCCAGGCCCCCTCCTCACCAGCAGCTGGATTCCAGAGCCCCCCACCCCTGCCCCAGGGGCTCCCCGGCCTCGGCTCAGCCCCGCACGCAGCCCCACCTTGCGGAAACCTTCCAGGACCTCCTTCATCTTCTCGTATCTCCTGAAAAGGTCGGCCAGAGACTTCTCCACCGAGTTCAGGTCGGCCAGCGCCTGCTCCTTCTCCAGGACCAGCTGCTGCACCGTCTGGTGGGAGACCGACTTCTCCCTCTGTTCGTCCTCTGGCGGGAGAGACGGGGAGACACAGGATGCACCAGGCCATCTGAGCCACCGGGGTCACCTTAAGCCCTGCTCCTCCTGGGGGCTGGATGCACCCCCCTAGAGCCCTTCCAGAATGAAACTCACAGCCCCCACATCACGGCCCTGGGCCTATGCAGTATCACATGGGACAGTGGGTTAAGCCTCCGCCTACGACACCAGCATCTCACATAGGTGCCAGTTCAAGTCCCGGCTGCTCCACTTCCCATCCAGCTCCCTGCCTGGGAAAGCAGTGGAAGATGGCCCAGGTGCTGAGGCCCTGCAGCCACATGGGAGGTCCAGAAGAAGCTCCTGGCTGCTGGCTTTGGCCTGGCCCAGCCCTGGTCATTGCAGCCATTTGGGGAGTGAACCAGCAGATGCAAGATCTCTGTCTAACTCTGCCTTTCAAATAAATAAATAAATATTTTAAAACAAGCAGAAAAAGACATCGCTGCTGACATTCTGTTGGGACGACATCTCAAGGGAGCTGCAGGCTGGGCTGGGGGCGGGGGGTTGGTTCCTAAGCATTGCCAGGACGGACAGAGAACAATCTTCACCCTTAAAACACCCCAGAGCTGCCTCTATGTTCCAGGTCACACGGGAAGTGAGTGTTTCTTTGATACAGAAAATGTCTTAAGAAAAGCACCCGACGTCGGTGCGGTCAGAGCAGCGGGTCCTGCTGGCCTCTACTCGGCTGTCTGGCCTGTGGCCAGCCCCAGCTGGTGTTCTGCTCCCGACACGGAGGAAACCGTCTCTGCATGTGTGGGGAGGCGCCTCACTCCTGGCAACAACGGAGCGGGAAAGGGGGACGCGGCCAGGGGGACCTTCCTGTTGGCCCAGGTCGCTGGGGAGGGGCGGCCTGCTGCCTGGGACCGACTGGGCATGTGGCTGCCATAGGGCGGTCACAGCAACAGGACGTACAGGGGCCATGCTGGCTGCTCTGTTCACACAACGCCCCTACGCCAACACCCAGCTTCCGAAAGCATACACCGGACCACGGGACTCCCGCCCACAGCCCCTGCCCTGGGAATAAACTCCAAACCCTTTCCCCACAGGCTCTGCCCTCTGCTCCAGCCTCGATGGCCTCGGCACCCCATGCAGCCCCTGCACCAGGCATCAGCCAGCCCAGAGCTTCCCACGGCTTCCGCATTGCTCAGGTCACCGCCCCAGAGGTGTGGACGATGCCTCCTCTCCACTCCCTCCTGCTCTATTTCCCTCTGTGCAGCGGTATCCACTCTGTATCATGTCAGACAGGGCATGCACACGCACGTGTATGCACGTGTACATGTGCGTGTGTGTGTGCCTGCCCTGGGGTATACAGCGAGTGCTCATCTCCCTGCTGAACGCCCACTCCACAAGGGTAGGCACAGAGTGGCATCTCTTGTGTCCACTGCTTTGTCCCTGGGCCTGGGACGGTGCCCAGGGCGAAGGATGCCTTGATACACGTCCACACAGTGAGCGAGTGAGGGAGGCCTCCCGGCAACCCAAGGACTGATCTTCTCATGCCCATTTTACAGAAGGTGAAATGGAGGTTTGAGTCTGAACCCAAAGCCATGATGAAGACCAAGACTGACATTCAGGCCTCATAATGACAGACCTCGGGACGCAGCTCCCTCAGCAGTGGGATTTTAGCTCCAGCCCTGACCTCTCCGGGGTCCCAGGGCCTTCACTGCAGAAGCAGCCTGCCCTCGTGGGTGAGCTGAACCCGAACACGCTGGAGAAACGGATCCTACAGACTGCTGCACGCACCCTCTCCACCAGCTTCTGCTTCCGCAGGCCTGAGAATCTGCACAGCACTAGGCTACACAGACACACACACACCTCGGGCCGAGCAGGTGCCCCGTGTCCCTGCCACCTTGCCTCTGGAATCACACAGCTCTCGACGGCCTTGCTGCCAGCAGCCTGGAGCTGCACGGGCCAGGGGTGAAGAGACTGGCAAGTCCCACCGCCCGGGCTGCAGCTCCAGCTCTGATACCGTGTGTCTCGGGCACAGTGTCTGAACTCAGTGGGTCCCAGCCACCTCCTCTCGCAGAGGGACGATGCCTTTACATCTCAGGGTGCCTGGGGGAGGCTCACGGGGGAGGCTGTCTACAGGGCCCTGGGCACCTGGAGGAGTCCAGGACCAGTGACCCACTGCCAATACCAGCGTGGTCCATGAAAACTGTGTCCCGGCCACCCCTGAACCGGGCCTGGCACTGGGACTCGGGAGGGGGAGCCTCCCAGCGCGGTTCCCAGCGATCCGCCTGCTGCTCCTGACTCCTGGAGAAAGGGCGTTGCCACGTTTCGCAGGGAGCCAAGTGCTGGTTTTGATTCTTCGCCTTCGAGCCGCTTCCTCTGTCCCAGCATGCTGTGCAGCACACATCTGTGCTGGCGGGAGGCTGCCCGGCCCAGGAGCCATTTATCAGAACGAGTCAATCTCATTTCCTGGATCCAGACGCCTGCCTCAGGTTTCCTTCCCTCCTGACCTCACCCTTTCACAATACAATTGCCCAGCTCCCAGCACGCTGAGGAGCCGGAGCCGGAGCCGGGGCCGCCGCAAATCTCTTTACAAATGACAAATGCAGTTAAGTGCTTCAAGTCAGGAAATCAGCCTTGAGACACGCTAGACGCAAAACCCAAACCCCTGAAGACTCTTCTGCCTTTTTCAGGCAAAACATTATTAAATCATGTGGCAAACATGGCAAGCACACAAAAGCAAAAACAACAAAAATGGGGAAAAAAAAAAAAAACACAAACAAGGGTTGCAACAGGCGGGGGTGAAATTAGGGGAAAGCATTTACTTACCAGGCTTGCCTGTTTGTTTTGCAAGCAAAGGGCAAGAAGCAACGGAAAATGGAAGCAAAACAGATAATCAGGCAGTTGTCAGGAGAGCAGAACAAATTCAGTTGCAACAACCCGGAATGCAGGAAGCACAGACGGCCCTTGCCTGGAGTTCTACACAGTCTGTCCTTGAGTCTCAGCAAACGGAATCTCTTCAACGGACAGGATGCAGGACTGTGTCACAGTGGTGTGGACCAGCTGAGGGGTGCATGGGAGCCAAGCGCTGGCACGTGTGGGGTGGAACTCGTTCTAGCTTCAGCACTCTCTGGCATTCGCTCTGGCCCTGACCTACCTCCCTGTGCCCAAGTTTCCCCCAAACAAGGACGTGGCTGGGTGAGTGGAAATGGAAAGCAATCACGGACGCCAGGTGCGCCAGGTGCACCAGGTGCGCCAGGTGAGCCAGGTGAGCCAGGTGAGCTAGGTGACCAGGTGACCAGGTGACCAGGTGAGCTAGGTGAGCTAGGTGAGCCAGGTGTGCCAGGTGCACCAGGTGAGCCAGGTGAGCTAGGTGAGCTAGATGACCAGGTGACCAGGTGAGCTAGGTGACCAGGTGCGCCAGGTGAGCCAGGTGCGCCAGGAGGGCATGTTCTGTAGACGGAGGGACCCACACCTGCCCAGGAAGAAGGCACATCCCACTCCCAGCTACAGCGAGGCCCAGCCACGCCTCACACCCAGGTCTGCTCCAAGGACACGAGGACCATGACATCTAGGATGGCCTCAGTGAGTGACGTGTGGTACTGACTGGCAGGTGACAGCCACAGACACACCACCGTTCTGATGAGAAAAGCTCCGGAAACATGGATGGCGGAGACGTCGGGGAATGCAGATGGGGACGGCCCACGAGGAGAGGCTGCTCCCCAGGAGTGACACTGGAGGTGTGTCAGGGAGCCCCCAAAGAGCAAAGCTGCTGCTAACCGGAGCCAAGTGCACGGCTACTGAAGGGAGGACCCCGGAGGTCTAACCCAGCAGGTTTCCCACGTGTGTGGGCATGTGCACCTGCATGTGTGTGTGCGGTCATAACCCTGGGAGTCGCTCACGAGGGCTGAGCTGGGATTGGCACAGGCTCTCAGACCGCCTCACCTGCACTCTCCGAGGAATGCCTCGGTGGCGCCACCTGCTGCAAGGCCAGGCCGCTTACAGCCACTACAGAGCCCCTCAGACCTCCCGGTGTCACGGGCAATGCCTGTTTCTACCAGCTTGACCGACGGTGCAGTAAAAGATGACCGGTGCAGTAAAAGATGACCGTGGGCACCCTTCTCCCCAGGAGCAAAAGGCTCACGCCCTCTGACCCATTCTAACAGCTGCCCAGAGCAGCACCAGTGGCAAACACGGACACAAATGGGCCGCAGCAGGATGCTACCAGGGAAGCCGTGCCCCAGGAGGCCGAGAGGCACGCGCCACGGGCCAAACTCCACATGTTGCAAGACATAAATCCTGCAAGCTGACCATTCCTTTATGCCAGCAGTTTCGATTCTAGACTGTTTAACTTTATCGCATCCATATGCGGTCGTAAATTCTGATGCCGATTTAATCAAGAAATTTCCTTTTGACAGAAAGCAACACCCCAGGGGGCTGCAGAAGCACCCCCAAGTTAGCATCCCCTGGAGCTCTGGGCGGAGTGGCCTGGATTAGAACAAACCACAGCTCAAGCTCCTGGGCGTGGACAGCACTCGCATGGCGGCTGCTCCTGTTCCAAGGCTCCCGCGAGACCTGGGCGAGGCAGTGGTGGGACGGCACTCAGAGTTCCCAGCTGCTGGGGAGGGGTCCCCTGCTAGCAGGGCTGAGTGTGGACACAGAAACTGCGCTCGGCAGGGTGGGTGTTTAGCCCAGCACGTAAGACGTTGCGTCCCCTATCGGAGCACCGAGGGTCCACACTCGGCTCTGCTCCTGAATCCAGCTTCCTGCTGATACGGACCACGGGAGGCAGCAGTGATGGCCCGAGTGCCTGGGTTCCTGCCACCTATGAGCGAGACCTGGATTGAGTTTCCGGCTCCCAGCTTTGTCCTGGCCAAGCCGCAGCTGTGCTGGGCATCCTGGAGATGAATCGGGGGCTGAGAGCCCGCTCTCTCTTTCCTATCTCCAGCTCCCTAGCTCTCAAATACATTTTCAAAACAATCTGTGGTTTGCAGTGGCCTGCAGTTTTGACTCCATCTGTCTTCAGGGGGAAAAGGCTTTTAAAGACTGATTATGATGACCTTGAACAGACAATTTCCTCTCCTGGCATCACAATACCATTCTGAAGAGTGATCCGTGTAAAACTGCCATAGGGCTTCTGACAATTCTTTCACATCACAGAAGAGAGGGTGCGGGGAGCCGGGTGTGTGTAACTGGTACCTGGAAGCCTCGCACTGTGCCAGCACTGGCTCCCAGGGCCGCTGTGTGGAGGCAGACTCAGGGCGCGTCTGCGCTGGGTGAGAACCAGTGCTGCGGTGAGTTAGCGGGGTCTGTGCGGGTCACGGCGGGGAGGGCGGGCAGTCACCCCCTTTCTACTAGGTCAAGGCTGAGCAGGTATTCATCCCCCGAGTCCACACCCAATCAGGGATCGGAGATTGGATTCCTCTTCTCTCTCAGGGGTAAAGAACTGGCCCTAAACAGCTCAGGACCCACCCCAGACCTTCTTCCCTGTGACGTGGGCAAAGCCCGGCCAGGTCCTACGGTGGCATGGAGGATGCCACCCCGGCGTCCCCCAGTAGGAGTGAGGCCACGGCACATTCCGCAGTTTCCAGGCGGTCCCACGCCACGCTGGGAAAGGCCTCGGCCCCCTTCCCCGACCCCCCCCGACCCGGTAGTCTGCCCCGAGCCTCTCCCTTCAAAGCCCCCTCCCCAGTGCAGATCCTCAGGACACCCACCGATCATCTGCGCGATGGTCTTCTCGTACTCGGCCACGATCTTCCTGTAAGAGAAGTAAGAACACGTGGGGACCAGGACACAGCCTGCATGAAGCCACACACAGGGACTGGGGAGCTGGGCCCCCACAGCCTGATCCATGCAGGAAGGGACAGTGTCACCCATCAAGGTTGAGCTCACACCTGTGGGGTCACCTGCGGCCTTGCCTCTTCTCACACACCCAAGTAGCATCACTGTCCCCCATGTGCAGAACCCTCTGCTCTCCCAGTGTCCACCCGGAAACCAACGTGAGCTCAGACGCCTGGCACGCAGGTCATCCGGGCCCCGTCTCGTGCACAGCGGCTCAAGGAGAACACGCGACTTCTCTGCTCTGGGCTCTCAGCTCCAGGCTGCTGTCTGTGTTGCTCATAGCCCCTCTCTATTTCCACCTCCTGCGGTCTATTTCTCAAGGTCCAATTCAAAGAGTATGCAAGATTACGCCCGAGCTCACTGTGCCGGGAACCTGGGGCTGGCTGGGAAGATTGGATTTTCGTCAACCTCATCTTTAGCTCAAGTGCAGCTGCTTTCGTGTCGGGGACAGAGCAGAAACAGAGGCCGTGTAATAAAGACCCGAGATCTGCTCCCGCACCAGACACTTCCCCCGGGCCACACGAGCTCCAGCCAGGCGCACCGCCCGGTCCAGCACTGACCTCATCTCCAGCACTTCTCGCCTGCTCTCTTCGTATTTGTCTTTCCACTCGGAGACCTCTCTCTCCTTGGTTATGATCTGGGAGCAGGGAGGAGAGAAAGGTCAGCCCCGCCTGGTGAGTTCCGATCTGAGCAGTTCACAGACCGAGGTAAGGAGACACTGGATGAATGTGCAGCTAACGCTTCCATAGCAAACCACAGCCTCACCCAGAGAGCTCCCCCGAGCCCACGAACGAGGGAGCCGGCCCCAGACTTTCCCAGGGCCCCCTGGGGCAGCTGCAGGGAGTATGGATTTTCTCATAAATCAAACAAGGCAGCAAAAGCCCCTTAAACCGAGGGACACAGGAAGGTCTGTATCCAGGGTTTGCTATCCATCTTTGCCCGCAGCGTTCAGAGCAGAAAGCCTACCCCCAAAGCCCCCGGCTCTGTGCACGGAGGTGGAGGTGGTGCGTTGATCTGTAGAGGCCTAGCAGCCCAGGCCCTTCCCCAGGCCACGCTACCTCTGCTCTGGCCATCTGCAGCGCCGCGTCCAGGTCCGGCTGCCGGAACAGAAGGCCTGCAGGTTTGTCCACATCCGAGGCCCCGATGCGGGAGTACAAGGCTGTCTTGGAGATGGAGACGTCTGTGGGGTGAGCAGCCTCCCGCTGTGGAACAGTTTTTAGTTAAAAAAAACGGAACAGTTCTTGCGGATCACGTGACAAGGGGACCTTATTCCCTCTCTCATGAATGGGTCAGCTGCATGGTTTAGAAACAAAAACTCATCCCAAGCGAGGCAGGACGCAGAGACTAGAACAGGAAATGCTGGGCAATCAACCGCACTGCACCTGCGCAGGCTGACAAAGGGGCCGACGGTGGCGGCGGCCTGGACGACTCGGGGCCGCGGAACCAAGTGCATCTGGGGCCCGCGTATCACGGCCATGTATCAGACACCAGGTGTCAGCACAGGCTGCAGGAACCCAGTAGGCTCCGCTTCCCAAAGAAAACCCTGATGACGAATGACACTGAACTGTAGGCTGCACGCCCCTGGCTTCAGATAACCACAGTGCTGATCATTTTGTGAGACTGTGGACACTGAACTGGGGGTGGGGGGGAGGGGGGCATGTGTTTAGCTCTGTCAGAAAGGGTGTGATTCCCACAACACTTGGAGGCTACCACAGCTGTCAATCAATCGCCTCCAACAAGCCAGCGTCTGCCTGTGAGGTCAGGTCACCATCTCGGGTATAAAGTCAACGGGGACATTGACAGTATCTGCAAGTGCTGACCAGAAGCCCCCGCCCCACTCAGGGGACCCTGGTTTGAGAATTCCTAGGATTCCTCCTGCGGTGGGCAGACACTGGCCCCCTGGAGGTGGAAGGGGCCTGTCACTGTCACTCTTCTTCCCTCTCCACAAAAGGCTCAGCCGTTAGCCACACATTTGAAAGGCGGAGTTAGAAGCAAGGTCAACCAGCGCAGGCGGGCTTGTCAGCTACTCCTACTACAAAAGAACCATCGACCAACCACACTCTCAGTCCTATTCATTAACCTCTGCCAAGGCGACCTCCACCCTGGTCCCTGGAGTCGGGCGCCAGGTGAGCTCATGGGGCAGAGTGGGACTGCTCCTTCCTTGGGAAGTTATGAGAAGAAACAGCAGTGCACGGCACAGTAGAGAGAGAGATTTGGGAGAAGGAGGAGAACTTAGAAAGTGCAAGTGAGACTAGGCCCAAGGTAAGCAGAGGGGGTGGACCTGCATGGGCTCAGCAGAATTCCTGTCTTCTGTCATAAGACCAGGTAGGCCTACCGTCCTGGTAGCCTCAGAAGACAACCGAGCAAGCCGACAGCTCAGAAAACCCAGGGGCAAGTTTAATGGATAGGACTGGAGAGGACTGAGTTAGGCCCAGTTAGTGGTACCCATGCAAGGTGAACTAAACGGTTAGGTTGTCCTGGAACGGAACACCTGCCACTTGGATTCCGCTGCCCCTGCCTGGCCTCGAGCCTTTGGGCGAACCCTTCAGTGGCCCCCGAGCGGCCCGGTCCTCACAGGGAGCACACAGCCCCGTTCCCTCAGACTCGAGCCTCGCCCAGGGGTCGGGTGGGGGCCCTCAGGACACGAGGCAGGCTGACCTCCTGGAAGGCAGAGCCACCGGACCACACGGAGAACAAGCAACCCGCCATGGGCTCCTCTCCGGGGCCTGATGACAGCTAGAGAACTCTGCTCCCCCCCAGGGATACGGATTAGGACTGCAGGTCTGTACCAAGGGAGCAGGTCGCAGACACAGAATCCCGAAGATGACTGACAAAGAGGAAAGAAACCTGCTCCTATTGCTTCTGAAGCAAAACAATATGTTCCTTAAAAATCCGAACTGGGGCCGGCACTGTGGTGCAGTGGGTTAAAGCCCTGGCCTGCAGTGCTGGCATCCCGTATGGCCAACAGTTCAAGTCCCGGCTGCTCCACTTCCGATCCAGCACTCTGCTATGGCCTGGGAAAGCAGTGGAAGATAGTCCAAGTGCTTGGGCCCCTGTACCCGCGTGGGATACCTGGAAGAAGCTCCTGGCTTCAGATTGCTACAGCTCTGGCAGTTGTGGCCACTTGAGGAGTTGGCTGGCAGATGGAAGACCACCCCCCCCCCCCCCTTCTCTCTGTAGCTCTGCTCTTCAAGAAAAAAAAAATCAGAACTGGTACTGTGGCACAGCCTGAAGAGCCAGCTTCCCATATGGGCGCCGGTTCTAGTTCTGGCTGCTCCACTTCCGATCCAGCTCTCTGCTGTGGCCTGGGAGAGCAGTAGAAGATGGCCCAAGTCCTTGGGCCCCTGCATCCATGTGGGAGACCCGAAGGAAGCTCCTGGCTTCAGATCAGCGCAGCTCCGGCTATTGCGGCCAACTGAGGAGTGAACCAGAGGATGGAAGACCTCTCTCTCTCCCCCCCTTCTCTACCTCTCTTTCTCTCCCTGTGTAACTCTTTCAAATAAATAATAAATAAATCTTTTTAAAAAATCAGAACCATCAAATTGCAAAACGAAGAGAGTACCAAACACCATGCACCTGTGCCTGGTGCTTCCAACAGTGAACAAGTGAGGCTCTGAGACCTGGCCTCAGGTCTTCCCCACTGAGGTTCATCTCTAAAATAGAGCCCCTTCCAATTGCATTCAGTGAACTTGACAGGGAGCACACAGGGGCAGACACCAAGCATGACCAAGAAAGGACTGGAGGATCTCTAAGCCGTCCTCTGAAAGAGAATGGAGAGGCGGTCACCGAGTGTGTCGCCACGGCCAGCGGCACCACGGCCAGAGACTCGCTCAGCCCCAGCAGCCGCCTTGGAACGCCTGCACCGTGCACACCCTGCTGCGCCTTACAACCAACAACTGCTTTCAGCTGAAACCAACAGCTTTGCCTCTCCCTGGTATTTTAAGATCGGATATTTTTAGAGTCAGCTTTGTCCCTCTCCCACCGGCTACTTCAGAGGGGCCAAGAGAGACAGGAGAATCCCAGGTTCAAGTGGGAAATGCCACGTGGCAGGGGGCACGGCCCTTCTCAGACAACAGCAACCCTTCCCTAAGTCCTGGGTCCTCGGACCATCGTCGCCCCCTTCAGACCAGCAGGTCCAGCGCCTAGGGTCCTCCCAGCCTTGCAGGTGGTGCAGGGTCCTGTCACTCACCCCTGGCTCTAGACCTCCCCGTGTTAGCTCTCTGTGGCCAGGCCTCAGGACGGGGATGAAGCAGGGAGCACTCAGAGGTCATCAGCTGCCACTGGGATCGGCAGTGTCAGGGAGGTCCACGGGAGTGAGGACCCAGAGTCAGATCAGCCAGGGGGACGACAGCACATTGGGCTCAGGCCACACGGACGGGGTGTCTGGGCCATGTGGGATAACCTGGGCAGGAAAGCAGCCTCCAGCGCGCACTGCCCCATCAGATCTGACCATGGTGGCTCTCAGGCTCAGGGGGCACACAGCACCACCGATAATCAATCCCAGAGGCGGCACCACTGGCCCCAACTGGGCACGCCTTCCGTGGAGTCAAAATGTGCCCTCACACCCTTCCCATCACAGGGTCCGGGTGAAGACTGCGAATCCTGCACAGCTAACAAGCTGGCGGCCACCTGGGCGCCCCGTCACTCCTCCCGACCTGTTCTCATGGGGCTGGGGCATCGTGTCTCCCTACCTCCAGACCCTGTGAAACGGGCCATGAGGTGTTTCTCTGCAGACCCAGAGGGAGAGACAGGGACAGAATGTGGCACCGGTGCTTGTGGGCAGCACAGGCTGCCCCAGACCTGATGGCCGCTACTCAGGTGCAGTTCAGGCACCTGCCGCCCACAGGCAGGCCTCTCGGAGGACTCAGACGTGGAGCAGTTGCGCCACGTTCCCCCTGCAGCGTGTTGCACCCTTGCTCCCACCCTGGCTCTCCCTTCGAGTGACTTTGTTCCCAAGTTACCCAGATATGCACTTAGGTATTTCCGTCGCCTCCCCCCACCCCAATCAGGAGAGGCCAACGGCACGGGGATCCTAGCAGACTTCTGCATTCTGCTCCACGCACAAATCAAATTCCCCGTGTGCCTCGCACCCTTGTGGAAAGCTACACACGTTCAAGTTCAAGTTCTATCTGACCTTGGTTAGTGTGGAAGTTGGGGCTGCTACACTGTGTGTCCACCAACCCGTGTCAGCTTCACCCCTAGGAGGACACAACCAGGCTCAGCTCAGCCAGGAGCACGTGGGAGGGAGGCAGCAGCCAGGCCGCAGCCCGGCACCCAGTCCCTGCGGGCGTCTCCTCCTCTTCTCACGTTTTCTGACCAGAGATGGAGCGATCCCTGCTGCAGCTCCTGGAAGCCGGGCTCTGAGTCTCAAGAGAAATCTCAGAGGAAGCTGCTTCAAGAACGACCAGGGGTCCCCCCCCCCAACCCCGCCATAGTTCACACTGATCTCGGCTCCGCAGCAGGACATGTTTCGTTCCAAGTGACTGCGTTTTGCGTTAGCTCCAGGCTGTCCAGGCTGGGCTAAGTCACCTGTGGCTGAAATACATGGGCAGGAAAGGGAGCACATTGGATACACGGCTGCTGCTCTCCGTTCCTGCACGGCAGCCAGGCGTCTACGGGAGACAGAGGCCTCCAGGGCCGAGCTTCCGCTGAGGTCCATGGATGCCCTGTGGACCGGCGACAGGAAAACGTGTCTGTCTGTTTCCCACTGGCCAGTACGCTTCTTTAAATTCTTTTTTATTTATTTATTTATTTTTTTGACAGGCAGAGTGGACAGTGAGAGAGAGAAAGACAGAGAGAAAGGTCTTCCTTTTGCCGTTGGTTCACCCTCCAATGGCCGCCGCAGCCGGCGCGCTGCGGCTGGCGTACCGCGCTGATCCGATGGCAGGAGCCAGGAGCCAGGTGCTTTTCCTGGTCTCCCATGGGGTACAGGGCCCAAGCACCTGGGCCATCCTCCACTGCACTCCCTGGCCACAGCAGAGGGCTGGCCTGGAAGAGGGGTAACCGGGACAGAATCCGGCGCCCTGACCGGGACTAGAACCCGGTGTGCCGGCGCCGCTAGGCGGAGGATTAGCCTAGTGAGCCACGGCGCCGGCCATGTACGCTTCTTTAAAAAGCAACACAAATTACTGTGGCAGAGGAAAACATCCCTTACATTCCGAGCTGTTTCTATGCCAAAGGGCTACTTCTCCAGCGTGCACCTGGGACATCCACGAGGAGGTACCTGGGGCTGCCTCCCTGGCCCACCCTCAGCGGATCCACGAGACGGTATTTTTGAAACCAGAAAACAGGACACGTGGGCTGGGAACAGGCTGTAACCGGCAGGGCGTCAGCTCCTGGCTACTGTCTGCTGACAGTCACTTCTGGCACCTACTCCCTGGAAGGGGCAGGGTCCCAGCGCCCCAGAACACTTCGTGCCCGATCTGAACATGCTCTCAGCCTTGCCCCAGACCTCTCCTGGAAGGAACATACCACGTTCATGGTGGCCAAACTGCAGGCAAGTCGCTCTGTCTGTAAGCTACTCCTCACAGATGGGCAAACAGCCTCCCTGCTCAGCGCTAACAATCCCACTTTCAGGGAAATTCAGCCCAAGTTTGGGGCTTGGCAGCAAGAATAAGGAAGCCGCTGGCCTGTGATTACATTCCTGTCCCTGCCCTGGGTCCAGGCTGGACTCCCACAGTGTGACCTCTCTGTGTCATACAGGGCTCTCCCTCTGGGGACAGCCAGAGAGCCACAGGGAGGGAGGCCCTCAGTTAGGAGCAGCTGCACCAGAGCTCTCGAGGGAAACCCCAGTACCCTCTGCACAACCAGCTTTCCCAAGACAAATAGGCCAGGGCCCTTCTGTGGAGCCCTGAGCCCTGGTCACTCCCTGACTGGAGAGCCACAGTGCGTGCCTCTCTTTTCCAAGCTGTAAAATGGGTCCTGGATCTGCCTCCAGGGAGATGCTGTTAGCATCGGACCAGCAAATAAGCAACAGAGGATGGTCCAAGTGCTTGGGCTCCTGGCACTCACACTGGAGACCCGGATGGAGCTCCTGGCTCCTGGCTTTGGCCTGGCACAGCCCTGGCTGTTGCAGCCATTCGAGACATGAACCAGTGGATGGAAGATCTCTTTCTGATTCTGCCTTCCAAATACATATATATATAAAAAAAGAAGCAACATGTTAGCTAACAGCAACAGGTTCCATTTATTGCACACCTACTGCACGCCAGGCTCCACACCTACTACGCACCAGGCTCCTGCACACCGTCTGATGCCCCCTCAGCAAGCCACACACTCACTGTAACTAGCCTCTTCTTACTGATGGAAAAACCGAGGTTCAGAGAGACTCACTGACTCGTCCAAAGCCACAGAGCACGGCGGCACGGGGGAGGGGTGTTGAGCCCTGGTCTGACACACCAGGCTCCCTGGGCTGCCCAACGTGGGGTGGGGTGAAGGGGCAGGCGGAGTCTACCGCTCAGCGACCACGGCTCGCCCTGCAGCCCTGAGGGCAGCACGGGACTCTGTGTGTCATCAGCATCTTGTTCAGATCACCAAGAAAACGACCTCCAATCCGGAAGCCAGGCAAGAAGACTTCAGTATACCCCGACAACGTCACACTCTACTCAAGAGGCGGGGCCAGCAAGTTCCTACCTCGGCCACGCGGCCAGCTGCCCTTCTATGTTAAAGCAAACACAAAGCTTTCCTGGGACAATGAAACCACAGCATGCACCTGTGTACTGGCTGCAGCTACCGCACACCACGACAGCAGGGCTGGGACAGAGCGGGACAGCCACGAAGCTCCAGTCTCTTATCTGCACTTCACCAGACTGCCGACCCTGGCCCCATCTGACCCCAGGTCTGAGCAACGTCACGGCTTCACTACTTACTACTGAGTAGGGTCCAGTCTCAGTAAAGTTAGATGTTAACTCAGAGAAAACAGAAAAGTCGGAAAATTATTTTTGTTTAATTAGAGAAGCCAACGGATATCTGCAGTGAAAAAATGATAACCAACAGTGATTTTCTTTCACCTTTGGAACTGGCACAAACCAGTTTATGCCTCACTTTGCCACCTGACGCTGGCCTTGCCGTGTCCCCTGCTTCTCCATCTCCCCGTCACTTCCTTCGGGTGGATTCCTTATTCTCGAGTTAAGTGGATCTGAGGTCCGAGTACTCATGGGAGAGCCACACTTTCAGCTTTGGAAATGAGACCGGTGGGACAGCGGCTATGGCGGCCGGACCGCTGGTTAGCGAAGCAGCTCTGGGCGTGCGGTGGCGGCACACACAGCATTCCCGGGACCACAGCACCACGGCAGCAAACCGGTACCTTGGCGTCCTGGCGGCTGCGGGAAGCCAGGGCGATCTGCCTGGCCAGCTTCAGCGCTTCTATCCGCATGATGGCAAACTCTAACTCCTCCTGCCCGGCGGGGAGGGGCGAGGAAACCACGGGGAGATGCGTGACCACGCGCGGAAGCAGCTCCCACACCCCGACCCGAAGGCGCCACACCCGGGTGTCACGCCCTGGCTTCCTTTACAACGAACTCCTCGGCAGAGCACGGAGCAAAACACGGCTCGATGACCCTGCGATGGCTGTCAGGGAGGACCGTGCAGGCGACCTGGGAGTGAATGCTGACCGCCCTGTGTCCCATGTCCTGAGGTTTCTTGCTTCGGGTTTACAATGTCGAGTCGGTCAGCAAAGGACCTGTGATCCCTCAGGGGACTGCTAAAGTGCTCTGCAGGTTTGCTCTCGTCTAGAGAACGCGGAATGAAGCTGTCAAACCTAAACACAGGCCGGTCACAGCTCTGGATCCAGATGCAAGGCCGGGACCAGATGCTGGCTCCGAGGGAGCCGGAGACGGCCTCGTTCACACCACGCCTGGCTCGCTGGTGACCCAACGCCCTGGCGTCAGTGAGTGAGCCACAGAACGCCTGCGGGGCTCTCCGAGCTGGTAACTGACAGCAACCTGCAAACTGGAACTGGACAGTGCGTCCAGCATGTACTCACACGGTCTATGTGATGTGGCATCTTGGGTAAAGAACACCACGGGGTCGGTGGGACACCCACAGGCACGCGCTCCGCAGTTCTTCCCTGAGTCCTGCCTGCCTCCTTCCCCTGGGGGGTCGGGGGTTCCTCCTCTACTGAGCTTTCTACAAATTCCCAAAAGGTCCCGGGGCAGGGGGGGCTACGAACCTGTAGCTTCTGAGCAAATACTGGGGGGTTCTTTTCTGCTAAGTCGGGCTCCAGACAGTCAAGCGGGCCGCAGAGAGAGGTGGGATGGGCCAGCCTGCTGAGCAGGGCGTCAGCAGAGGCAAAGGCAGCATCGGGAGCTGTCTGAAGATGGCAGAGCAGACAGGAGAGAGAGAGAGAGAGAAAGGAGAGCAGAGAGTGACACCGATTCCAAGCACAGACCATGCATCCCTGCGCTGGACCCTGGAGACAGGCCGGCCCAACCCCCTCCCAAAAGGCACAGCCTGGGGTGCCCTCCCCACCCCACGCCACCCTCACTGCTCCGCCTCATTGGTTTCATCTGCTTATTCACTTGAAAAAAATCTCAGTGGGCAGGAGGCCAGCGAGTTGATGGGTTTTCCAAATACAACAAAGCCCATCAAGAAAATACCTCCAAGAAAAAGCATCAGAGGAAGTAAGGTTTTGGTCAAGATCATTTTCTAAACAATGAAAAGATGATTTCAAACAAAAAAAGTGTCTCCTGGCAGATCAGAAAGACTTCAGAATCAGCCCACCTACGCAGAGGGTGAGCTATGAAGACAGTCACTGTATCGGAGACTGAGCCACAAGTACCTCCTCTTCGGCTCACTCTGATCTTCCCAGTACCCAGCCCAGCATCCCCATAGCAGATGCTTGGTCAGCACTCAATGCATGACATAAGGGACAGTCTCCAATACAGAACAAAGTAACGCCCGAAATCTAGGGCTTCAAACCCACCTGGGGATTGCCAGGAGCAAGGTAAAGGAAACAGAACTAAAACCCACATGGAGGTGCAGCCTGCGCATCACACACTCCACGGAGACCCCAGGCCCGCGGTGGACGGGGGTCACACACAAGGAGTGGAGTGGGTAAAGCGTCAGCCCCACGTCTACTGCTCTGTAAGGCCCCGGGCAGGGCCTGGGAGGCGAGAGATGAAAGTCTCCCCATCACTGAAGACCCAGGAAAACCAAGTGCTCCCCAAAAGGAAGGTGCCCCTGGCCCTGCCACAGAAGAGGGACAGACAGTACTGCTGAGAACAGCTCCAGGCCAACAGCCAGAGATGGAAAATCGGCGACCTTGGAGGCAAACAAGGCGCTCAGGCGAGACCTGCAGGAGCGACTTGGGGAGGACGGGGCGCCTCTGGCTCATCTGGTGGTCCAGGGTCCCCTGGGCCGGCTTCTGTGTTTGGGAGCCAGCTGGGGTCCTGCAGCAGTGGCCAGGTGAGGAAGCTCTGAAGGCCTGACCCCTTGGTGACAGCCCAGCAGGCCTGGGCCTTGCTCCAGAAACCTCACGCCCCTCCGTCTCTACTTACAATCTCATCCGCCTCTGCAGGGGTGCCCAAGGCCATGGCCTCCAGCTCCTTCTGGGAGGGTTTCTCGGGCGCTTGCATGGGTGGCTCTTGGCTGGGGGCCAGCCCGCGTGTGACAGGATGCTGGATCTTTGCCGCGGTGTTCACAAGGGCTTCGGTCTCCTCGAAACTTGACCTGAGGATCAAAGCATCTTCAGCATCTTGTCCCCGAAGACCCCGCTGACATCAACCTGGCTGCCCCCGTGGGTCAATGCCCCAGGGGTCCCAGGCTGCCAGGGCAGTGTTCCCAGAGCCAGGGCTTCCGTGAGCACGAGGCCTCTGGGCAGGGGCAGACCACGGACCCCAGGGGCGAGGGCACCAACTCTGGGATCACACAGAGAGGGGCCCGGCTGTGTGCTCTTGGGGAAGTGTGGGGTACCCAACCTCAGCTGCCTGCTCTGTAAGAGAGAGGAAGCTTGGCTGGCGCCGCGGCTCACTAGGCTAACCCTCCGCCTTGCGGCGCCGGCACACCGGGTTCTAGTCCTGGTCGGGGCGCCGGATTCTGTCCCGGTTGCCCCTCTTCCAGGCCAGCTGTCTGCTGTGGCCAGGGAGTGCAGTGGAGGATGGCTCAATGCTTGGGCCCTGCACCCCATGGGAGACCAGGAGAAGCACCTGGCTCCTGCCTTCGGATCAGCGCAGTGCGCCGGCCGCAATGCGCCGGCCGCGGCGGCCATTGGAGGGTGAACCAATGGCAAAGGAAGACCTTTCTCTCTGTCTCTCTCACTGTCCACTTTGCCTGTCAAAAAAAAAAAAAAAAAAAAAAAAAAAAAGAGGAAGCTCTCCATGGGGGTTAAATGAGATGCTGCACACACGTAAAGCATCTAACGTGGCATCAAACAGGGCTGCGACCGTTGTTCTAACAGCGGCACCATGACCACCAGCACTAGCGCCCTGGTAGACCCTGGCCTGTTCGCAGGTTTGAGAAGTCGAGTGAGAGTTTCCACTGTGCCTTGGTGAGGGGTGGTAGGCATGACAGGAGGGTCCAAGCCTTAAAGCAAAGCCCCACAACTTCCCCTGTCACACGTCACGTGTGACGTGTTCAGAACGTGCAAGTATTAATGCCCACATGACCCACCTGCCAGGCACCGGGGCGGAGCTGTACCCACACAGCCTCTCTTTGGAAGACAGGTGCCCTACTCCATGCACGGTTGGGGGATGTTCTAGAAGACTGAGGGCCTCCCCTTAAATCGTCCTAAAATCCCCCCAAGTTCGGTTTTAGTCCTCCCCACTCAAGGAGACTGAGGTGCAGCAGGGTCACGTAAATCCCGTGAGGTCCCACAACCAGGACTCCGAACCCTGCACTGTGCTGCGCCCTGCAACAAATGACGGAATCGACTCTTGGGTGCACGGGACAGACAAGGGCATCTCACAGCCAGAGCTTAAAGGACGTCACCCCAGGGGAAAACCCAGCGACCAAGGCGTTGACCTCCCTGTGGGACGCGGAGAACCCCCGCTAAAGGGATGAAGCACCGATGACCGTGCAAAGGGGCTCGGGGACCGTGGGGCCTCCGGGCTGCTCCGAGCTCTCAGCACGTGGTCGTACCCTGAACACGGCGTCGGCGAGTCCGACACGCGGGCAGGAGGAGACTTGACGGGGCTCTCCTGAGAAGTGTCAAACATGAGGTACAAGGCCTGCTTCTTCGGGGCGTCGTCGTCCTGCTGGGGGATTAAAATCACAGGTCAGCCGGGCACCTTGGCCGAACATGCTACTAGGATGGAAAACCAAGAGCAGGCACTCGCCAGAGAGGAGCAAAGAACCCGTCGTGCTCCCAAAGCCAACAAGAGGAGAGGAGAAAGCTAGGCTGGCTAGGGAGGGTGGAGGCGCAGAAAGTGCAACCTGGTGCGGGCAGGAACGCACGCGGACGAGGCAGAAGGGCCCCAGAGGGGCCAGCGTGCGGGACTCTGCCCATCCACGCCTACCGGGCCAGGAACCGAGCCGGGCACCGCAGGTCAGCAGGGTGGGACTTCTCACAGACAAACGGGGGGAGAGGGGGCAACAGCACAAGGCAACGGGACGAGCATCACCCCTGGGGCACCAAGTGGAGGTGAAAGGGCTCAGCCTGAAGGGACAGGGTTTCCTTTCAGTGGATGCAGGCGAGAAGGGAACGGGCAGGGGGCACTCCAGAAAACGCGGCCACGACCTGCCAGGAGCAGTCAGTGCCCGAGGGGCCCCTGAGGCTTCATCCAAACCTGTGACCAACACCCACGCGTGCTCCATGGCAGCAGTAGCGTCTTGCCCTTGGCACAGGGCGAACAGAAGGGTCTGGGCGTCTGGACCTTTTTGGATTTTTAGAATTTGAGATCTGCATATGCATGAGCTACCATGACGAAGGGACCCAAGTCCAAACACAAAGTTCACCTACATTTCACGTGTATCTTATTTATACACCCGGAAGGTAATTTTACTTATGCTGTTTCTAAGCAGTCTGACTATGCCCCGTCACAGGAGGTCAGGTCTGGAATTCCCCATGAGGCCTCGAAGGTTTTGGGTTCTGGAGTATTTTGGATTTTGAATTCTCTGATTTATGTGGCCCCCTCCACTGAGGCCCAGCTGTGACCTCAATGGTCAGCAGCTCACTAAGAGATGAGGACAAAGGCACGTACTCTGCCTCGGAGCTGTGACTTTACCAACTTGGCGCTTGGGATGGATACAATGTCCCACCCAACCTCCCACCAGCAAGCTGCAGAAGCATCTAACACATCTGCCGAAGAGAAGTGTAGCACGTTCCCAGCCATTACTGGTCCTCCCGAGCACTCCCAGGCCCCGAGGGCATCACTGGACAAGGGCACAGCAAGGAACAAAATGCCCTGGGACGGCCACCCGCCCATCATAACCCCACGAAACGGAACAGGGGAAGGCTACTGCCCTGTAACACCTGTGACGTCTGGCAATCAGCTTGTAGAAAACAGCTATTAGTAAGTACACTTTAAAAAGATATCTCTGGCCGGCACTGCGGCTCAATAGGCTAATCCTCCACCTTGTGGTGCCGGCACACCGGGTTCCAGTCCCGGTCGGGGTGCCGGATTCTGTCCCGGTTGCCCCTCTTTCAAGCCAGCTCTCTGCTGTGGCCCAGGAGTGCAGTGGAGGATGGCACAAGTGCTTGGGCCCTGCACCCCATGGGAGACCAGGAGAAGCACCTGGCTCCTGGCTTCGGATCAGCACGGTGCGCCGGCCACGGTGCGCCGGCCATAGCGGCCATTGGAGGGTGAACCAACGGCAAAAGGAAGACCTTTCTCTCTGTCTCTCTCTCTCACTGTCCACTTTGCATGTCAAAAAAAAAAAAAAATATATCTCTGACTGCTCCTTCTCAGTGCAGGGAAGTCATTCCACAGGAAGGCTGCCAACACCGCGGCATTTCCTGCCGGTGAATGCCAAATGGAGTGGGCTGAGCTCCGACCCCACCCCAGTCCCCATCACAGTGTGCCCAGGACACTCTGCCCAGAGGACAGGGCAGGAAGGACTTACAGGTAAGGAGGTGCCGATTTTTTCCATGTATTCGATTTCATAGGAGTTTCTGTAATCCAACTCTGCCAAAGAAACAAAAAGCGAAGTCAGTGCCAGAGACAAAGATGGGAAGCCTTGAGCTGGGCAGGGCGCAGCTTAGAGCAAGTTCTGAGACGTCTGTGAAAGCCCACGGACTCCAGAGACTTGGTGCTGCCGGCCCAGGAGGCTTAACTCAGCCCCGTTCCGAGAATCGGCAGACAGCTTTTATACAGGCACCTCTGCTGTGAGAGGGTCTAAGGGCCCGGAGACACCAAACCACGACCAAGCACAGGTGTGGCCGTGGACAATCAGTTTTTGCACAAAGCTGTTGGATCAGAGCATGTGCATTTTGGGTGCTGGTTTTCTCTGTGACTCTCACATCAGTGATACATCCTGATGACACGCCGGACTTGGATCCATACTGCCTCCATGAATCCTGCTCCAGTCCCTATCAGCAGCAACCAAAGGGCAGACGCTGCTCCCCCAGCGTTGCAAGTCAGAGAAGCTTTGCCAGCAACCTGGAACATTCCCCAAGTTCCATCCAAAGTAAATTTTCCAAATGCAAAGACTATTGACAATCCAAGAAGGTGGAGAGGTGACCTATTTCAAATTGAAAGGCGACTTCAGGCTGCAAAGAAAATTCTAGGTATTCAGAGACTAGAAGCCTCACTGTCAGGCTCAGGCACCTGATGGTTCCCTGTGGAGAGCCCACCCTGCTGCTCAGTTGAACTTCCCATCTAGCAAACAGACTGAGGCCCACACCAGGCAGAGCAGGTGCGATGAGGCGGGAGACGGAAATGACTGTGACCTTGCAAAAGCCCTAAGCCGGAGCTACAAGCTGTCCACAAGACGTGCCCACGACCTGCTCGGAAACCTGCTATGCAAAAGCACCTGCACTGATCCCTGGGGCTTAAGGCCTCATATTTCTTAGGTGAAAATAAATACAAAGGGCAGCTCTGACCTAAATCCTCCTTACTTCTGCATATGTTGAAGGCGTCACTGGAAAAAACAATTCTTCAATCTAAACTTTGAGTTGACATATTTCCTCAAAGACTCTTCAAACCCGCCAGCCTGCATGGCTGCGGCTGAACGAACACACGTGCCCAAGCACGCAGACGAACACGTGGACAACTCTCTAGGCCTCTCCGCGTGTCCTCGGTACAGCAAGCCCGCAGGTGGTTTGGCTGATAAACATCCAGAAAGGCTTCCTGCCTCCCGCGTGCCTGGACCACCAGCCGAGCATCCCTGGGAAAGCACAGCAGAGCCTGGGGCACACACTGGAGCCTTGGGGTGGCGCTCACTGGGATGTGAGACAGCCACGCCGTAGCCAAAGAAGACAGAATATCCTCCTCACCTGAGAAATGGGGGGGGGGGCAGCGAGGGGCAAGATGATCCCCAGGCCTTTTCCAGGACTGTCCCTTTCTGAAGGGAGGACCCAGAACAGCCACCTTAATGTGCTGTGTAGCCTCGAGAAGGCCACGGGGAGACAGTGCTTCCTCCCAGCCGCCAGGAGCAGGGCCAGTCCGATCAGCCCAGGTTACCTGGGAGGACTCTGCCAACACAGCCCAACACGGTGCACGGCACCAGCACTGTGCCAAACAAGCCAGGGCCTGCCACAGGCTTTACCAGGGACCCGTGGCCAGGGAGCACTGTCCACCTCGGCACAGCCTCCCACCGGGAGCCCAGCGCACCTCCTGGCAAGTGCATCTGTGTGGGCCTGGGTCACTAAGCTCACTTACCTGCCTTCTTCCCCCACTGCCAGGGGTCTCCCCTGCCATTGCCCTGGGTCTCCCATCCTTCCCTCAGGGGCCACACCAGGCAGTACCAAAACGGGGTGCTCTGTCGCCGAGACACACTTGCATCCAACAGCCTTGGTTCCGGGCCGCCTTCTGCGTGGGCACTGCAGTCCCAGGTGCCTGGCAGACACTCGGAGACGCTCCTTCAGAACCTGTCCCCCACCGCTGCTCACAGCCCCTGGGCCCTCATTTATAATTTACCAAGTGGCCTGGGCAGGACGCAAGCGGAAGAAAACCTCTTCCTGTCATCTGGGGTGATCTCCAACATGCTGAGGAAGCATCTTCCTGACACTGCGCCTCACATCCCGCTCATCTGCTTTCGATTTGAGCCTCCCAGGGCAGGCGTGGGGAGCACAGCCATGTCCAATTTTAGCTCCATTTTCACACCAGGCCACACGCTGCTGGCAGGCCAGGAAGGTGTCATGCCAATGGCACCAGTGGCACATCACCCTCCACCCAGAGCAGGGTCCCCCACTGAACTGCAAGATCGTTCCCCTCGGACGCTGCAGGACCAGAGGCCCAAGGTTATTTTCTGCAGGTTCCGCCCTATCCAAGGGCATTCCAGGTACTCATTCACCCGGGGGGCCAGCACAGCCAGGAGGCTTGACAGCTGTTTGCAACGGACTCTACTGGCTAGAGCTTGGCTTGGGGCCCCGAAGAGTGCAGGGGAGTTCAGTCCTCTACTCCCTGGACCCGGGAGGCCAACTCATCCACGCTGCTCTACGCCTACTGACTTCTCTGGAAAATGGAGCCCAAGTGCCTGCATCTTGCAGGATAAGATGGAACAGGGTAAGAAAATTCTGGGGCTGGCACTGTGGCACAGCCGGTTAAGCTGCTGCCTGCGATGCTGGCATCCCCTACTGGGCGAGGGTTGGAGTCTCAGCTGCTCCATTTACTATCCAGTTCCCTGTTAATACACCTGGAAAAGCAGCAAAAGATGGCCCAAGTCCTTGGGCCCTGCACCCACGTGGGAGCCCCGAATGCAGCTCTAGGCTCCCGGCTTTCAACCTGGCCCAGCCCCAGCCATCTGGGGAAGGAACCAGTAGATGGACGATCTCTCTCTCTCTCTCTCTGGCATGTGAATGTGCTATATAATTCTCTCAAGTAAGTAAATAAATCTTAAAAAAAAAAAAAGGAGAGGATAAAAGCACTACAATGAGTCACAGAAATGAAAGGACCATGATCAGATCTGCTGCTGCTCCCTGCTGTCTCCCTTCTCGGTGTGCGTCATGGGGCAGCGATGCCACCATTAGGCTCCGGAGGAGGACACCTTCCCCCAGTGGGCACGGGAAGGAAAGCACCGACGGAGCTGGGAACCAGGTGGGCACCAACGGCCACCCAGACTCATGAATCTAAAACCACCTGCAAACGGCGCCCCCAGGGTCTGGGGGCCCCAGGCAGGGGAGCGCTCAGCAGCTGGGAAGCCCAGTGCTTCCTAACCTCTTCATCCCTAGGGGCCCAGGGGGAGGTGTCATCCCACGACCCTGCGCTGAACGAGGTCGCACCTCAGAGCGGGGCACTTACTGAACAGACGTGCAGAGTGGCTGGTCCGGGGCTTTCTTAATCAATAGAAGACGGTGAGTGTCACCGAGAGTGGACACAATTATGGTCCAAACGCAGGACTGTGGTCACCTGGGCATCTTTCTAAACTCGCTCCATGTGGGGCTGTGTTGAAATGCTACAGGCAACGTGAGGCTGTTCACCACTGCTCTCATGCACGCAGGCAGGGAAGCCCGGTTGGTTCAACAGCCTCCTTCTCCAGGAGTGGGCGGCAGAGAGCCCAGCGGCTGGGTGCTGAGACACCGGGCGAGCCCCTTCCTGCTCTAGGCGCCTGTCTCATTCCTACACCCCCATCCCGACCTCCACGCCTCTGAATTCTCCTACACCACGCCAAGTCCAGACTGGCCTTTCGCGGTTTTCTCTGACAGTCAGAAGCTTTGTCTCAAGCTCCAGTGGTGTGAACCAGCAAGGAAGCCTCAATGGCCAAGACCGACGCCCGTGCTCGCACGTCCTGCGCCACTGCAGGGACGACACCCCTCCCACGCAGGCGACGTCTGCTGCAGAGTTCAAGTCCGCTGAGTTGACACGGAGCTGTGCACCTGCCTGGCCTTGCACTTCCTTTCTCACAGATCTCTTTAGTCATCACTAGCTCAGGGGCTGGGGGAACACCCAGAGGAACCAGACAGAGCTTGTGCCATTAAGACACAATTGAGGAGGGAGGCGAGAAACACACCCAGGTCCTCACGGAAGCATTACGTGACCAAACACATGGCCTGGCTGTCCGGGAGCCACCAGGGAAAGGCTGGGAGGGGGCAGGCCTGAGACAGGCCAGGATGGGAAACATCCGGGGTGGGCTGGCAGCTGGGTGAGGGGATCCAGGGGAAAGATTCCATGCAGGTGAGGCCTGTGGCTCAGGTGTGAGTGCAGAGGGAGACGAGGATCTGCGGGGGGCCGGGGCCAGGGCCAGGTCCTGGGGCCTCAGGTGGCGGGTTAGGGAGAGGTCACTTGTAAGCCTCCCAAACACCAGGCCAGGGGGCCAACCTGACAGCTCACCAAAAAGGCTCTCTTTTGCAGAAAGGACCAGGAGTCCTATATATATATATATATATACACACACACACACACACACACACACACACACACACACACGTATACATGAAATAGGGTCATCTTCTCATGGCTACGTATGGAAAGGCAGCTTTGTGGGGTGAGAAGAATCCAACATTCTGAAGACACGATTTCACCCGTGAAATGCATCTGACCACAAAAGCACCCGGTTCCACCATGAGGTCTCACGGACACACGGGACACCTCCAAGAGAAGCCGGATTGTGGCACAAGAAGCCGGCACTCACCACCCCCTGCCCAGCCCAGACGGGGGAGGTCGCTACACGGAGGTCTTGGTAGCAGCAAAGACGTGGCGACCAATCAAGATCTTGGAAGGAAACTCACACCCATCACGTGAGCCAGAGGGTGGAGACGCCGGCCCTGAGCTAAGACTCAGGTAGGGGTGTGTGCACTGGGACGCCAAGGACAGCTGCACCCTGCAGGAGGCAGCTCCAGCCACCTTCCTAGCAGCTCAGGAGTCATGGGAGCCCATATGCAGGGGCCTCTGTGTGGGAAGCAACTCTACGCACTTCTTGATTCACCCAGTCATGCTGTGCTGACTCAAGCCTGAGACCCAGACGGCAGCAGGAGGAGACCGGCTACTGAGCTCCGCAAAGTGCCTGGGGCCCCCAGGAAGGAATCGCACCCTGTCAGCAAGCTGGGGTGGACCTCTGTGTGGCCTCTGTGTCTGAACACCCAAGAAGGGGCACCCAGAGACCCCAGACAGGAGGGGCCTACACTGAGCGTTTGGCTAGCATGATGCTCCCTTAGCACTGGGTCTTTCAAAATCACAAAAGGAAAGAAGCACACGGCCAGGAATGCACAGAGGGCCCCTCGGTACACAGGGCACTGTGCTGCTTGTTAGAGGTGTCTCAGGGGGAGGACAGCTGGCGGAGTTTCTGGCCGTCTTCAAAGGCAGCCTCGGCTGCAAGCCTTGGGGGCGATGTGCAGACGGGACCCAGCGCACCGTGGTCACCGGCTGAGAACTTCCTCTCCCAGCCCTCCACGCTCTGCCGGCCCCCGCGCTGCTTACCCTCTGTGGGGGAACTGAACTTGGTCTCGTTGACGAAGGTGGACAGGTCCGAGGGCTGCGGGAAATCCTGCTTGTCGGCCTCCAGGTCCACCGTCATACATGTCCACTTCTGGTTGGTGACCGCCAGCTTCTCCTCGTCTGTGGCGTGGACCACGGCAGAGATGACCGGCGGTGTCTCCGGCGTCGCAGCCGGAGTGGGGTCCTGGGCGGGCAAAGGAAGCAGTGTCTTCCCTCAATCAGTCTCCCGCTCAGGAACCAAACTGCACCCGGCCCAGGGTCTGGGCCCCCTGACCCGGGACAGGTCCCTGCCGACATCCACCGCGGGTTCTCCTCGGGCCCCGCTCCACATGGTTCCCAAGAAACACATCCTTTCTCTCTGAGTGTCCTGTGCGTTTCTGGGAGTGACCGTGGGCTCCAACAAACAAATAAACAAAAATCACTATCTTGGGCTCTGGCTGTCTGAGACATTCCTGCCGGCTCTAGGACTACGGCAGCCATGCCAGGCTCACCAGCGCCCCTGGCTCGCTGGCCCCTGGCAACCAGCACCGCCTGACAATCCTCCTGCTACTCTCTGGAGGCCGAGCAAAGGTGGTCTGACCCATGTCTGCAGGAGACCGTGGCGCGGAACAGGATATAGTGGGATGAGCTGTGATGGGGACCCTCTTCCTGGGTCTGGGGTCTGCAGCTGAAGTTTTGTTGGCTTGGACTTGGAGGATTATGGGGTTTGTATGTTTTGTGACCTGGAAATAGCCCCCAAATGGTGTGGCAAACAGGCTTGAGGGTGACCAGGGTACAAGACATGGAACACACAAGCGGTCTTCAAAAGGTTCGTGGAAGACGCATATTAAGAGAAAATCATGCATGGGTTTCCAAATCTCCCACGCCCGAATAAGCTTATCTTTCAGTTATAAGTTCCATGAGCTTTTAGAAGTACTCTGGTATTTAGCTATTCCCTCTCCCCGGTTTTGTTTCCTCCGTATTCATTTATCTCCAAAGACTTTCTGAACTTGAAAGTCAGATCCGCTCCAGCAGATTCACGACCAGAACAGGCCCAGGACTCCCACAGAACCCAAGGGATGCTTTCCCTCTTCCCGGCGTTCCTTCCCACTCTCGGGACACACCCGGATCTTCCCCAAGGTGAAGGACAGACACGGAGCAGCCTCGGTGTGGGAGGCAGGAGGGGCTCTGGGACCACGATCAGCATGACCAAGGACACCTGTGCACCCGGCAGCAGCGCGACCTCCCCAGGTGAGCCATAAACAGAGATGGAGGCGACATCGTACCTGAGAAGGTGGGTCAGAGAGAGGAGACCGCTTTGGTGACTTTTTCACCCTAAATGTGTCACTGGAAACAAAATGGAAAATGTGAACACAAGGAACAGGGGCGCAGAACACTCTAGAACAACACGAGCAGGCTCAGCCCCGCCTCTGCTGAGCTGTCTGGCCACACCCCCCCGCACCAGCCGCCCGGTCCATGCCAACACCACTTCCTTAATTTTTTTTTTCACAGATATTATTTTTGCCCTCAAGAGAAATAAATCCATCAAGCTGGAAATCCTTAAAGAGATGCCATTTTGGAGAGCTGACCCAGAAAATGATGCTAAATTTAACTAAATGTTCTTATTTTATAAAGCAAAGTTTTGGGGAGTGGATTAATTCACCCCGACTCTTCCAGAATGTCAGAGCCAACTCAGGTAGAGGGAGGAGCCCCAGGCTCAGGACACCAAAGCACAGGATCCCATCTGCAGACAGCCCTTCACAAACAGCCCAAGGACCTGTGCAGACACAGGAAGTTCTGGACCTCGGGGAGATGCACAGAGCCCTGCCCACTCACAGGAACGCTGAGCCTACTACAAGGGACTCTGTCCCAAGGCAGGGCTGGGGGTGGGATGACCTTTCACGCCTCCCTATCACTGGTTGAGGGACAAGATCCACGAGTCTCTTCTCTGGAGCCTCCTGGTCACCTTCATATACATAATGGGGGGGGGGTGCGAGGCAAAGGGAACATCGGACCAGGCTCCTGAGGGGCGGGGACGGCGGAGCCCAGGAGGAAGGGACGACTTCAGCATGAATGGCTCCATGAGGTCCACTGCAGGTCAGGAACCACTTCCACGGCCAGGACAGAGGCCCTCTCCACCCTGCAGACCGGCCCCTGCCCCAGCTCCCAGGCTGGTCCACTCCCAACTAAGCAAGGGCTTTGGTGGGGAGGGTCCCTCACCTGAGACCCCATCACCCTCTCCAGCTCTCCACACTAACTGGATGGGCAGAGCAGGTTGACATTCAAGTTCCTTCCCTGTGTTCTCTCGAATAAAATGCTCCAACAATGGCATTCAGTCATGAAAAGGGGCTGTAAGTGGCTCTTTCCAGCATTTATGGCATCTGCCATAGTGCAATCGCAGCTTGAAGCACATATTTATTCATGCATATGAGGAGGCAACTGTATTTTGTAATTGCTAAATGGCTTGAAAATCCTAAAGAAATCCCTTGGGCAGAAGACAGCCTGAGAGACGCCACTCGGGCCTGGGGCTTCCAGACGCATGGGACCAGGGCAGCTGCCCTCGTAAGGACAAGGAAAAAGCAGGCGTCTTTGGAACCCTGAGTGCCACCCACAAGATCGCTGCTGGCCAGCAGAGACACAGAGGCGGTCAGCACGGATGGCGGCTGGGGCATGCTGGCACCCGGCTGGAGGACCAAGGCCCTGGCCCAGGGCAGCCTGGCGATGGCTCTCACAGCCATGCGCTCCACCTGGGAGCTGACCCCGGACCTCAGGATGCTCCTGCGGGCCTCCACGTGGCACGGCCCCAACTTTGTGTCTCATGGGCTTGGAGACTGCCTGGGCAGTCACCGCCTGCGCTTAGGCAGGGCGGCCGTTTGAACATGAAGCCACCATGCTAGTGAAAGCAATCGCCTGCTTGTCCCATTTAAGTGAAAGAATGGAAGGAGGAGCTAAAAAAAAAAAAGAATGTATGCATTTCAGATGAAGACATCCAATATGCACTGGGGAGGGGAAAAGTTTCATTCCCAACAAGCAGGCAGATGTTGGATAATCACGTTTGCACAGCCAAGCAGTCTCATTTATGCTAATCACCATGAAACGGCAAAAGAACCTTGCTGCTGGGAGCCCCGTGCCCCGTCATTCCCAAGCCCGCCACGGAAACGTATCAGTAGCAGCCACGGACAGGACATACAAAAGGCTTGGAAGCAGAAACAAAAGGCAGAGAAAAAAGCACGTTTGGCATACGAAGCAGATTCTGTTAAATGTACTTACAACAGAGAACACACAGACATCACATCTTCAACCATCCTACGACAAGAAGACAAAGAGAAGAGAGACAGACAGAGGAACTGACAAAAAGGATCCACCTGCAGACAAGCAGTTCCTAATGGGTTAGGAGACAAGAGCCATCGCTGTAGATCCTGCCTGGGAGGCTGGGTCGCAGCCGGCAGTTTGGAAAGGCACTGCTGGGGAACAACTCCTCTCCGGGGTCTCGTGACCCCACAAGGTATGGGTGGCGTCTTCCGAGCCGACAGCCCCCAGCTGCTCCAGAGGTGACACTGGGGGATGTGGCGTGAACTTCCCCGACCTGTGTTAGCACCGACCCCGGGACAAGCACGTGGCTGGGGACTGACTACAAGCAGGCTATCTCGGGGAAGGAGGGGTGGCCACGAGTGACCTGCTTCACAGACGAGAGGGCAGGGCTTGTGGGAGAGATTCTGGATTTTTCCTCTTCCAGACTGAAGTTTCCAGCATGGGTTTTCTGGAGTCTCTAGGAAGAGCCTGGTTGGGTAACTGACCCAGGATAAGGGGATAAGGGGATGTTTTTGGCAGGGAAGGCCTAGCCACCACCGCACAGAGCAGAGGAACCCAAGGCTCATGTCAGACATTCAGTGAGTAGGGGAGCCCACGGTGAGGGTGAACGGGTCACTCACTCTTGTTTGTGCCAGGCAGACTCAGAGGGGCCAGCACTGCGGCCCGCTCTCTGCGCTGCCTCCGGGGGATTCGTCTCGGCCTTGCTGAGTTACTGCTGACATGTCTCAGGGCAGCGGCAAAGCTACAAGCAGCCACCACACCACTCCTGGTCCCTGCAGCCACGCGAGCCAGAGCTGAGTCACAGCCTGGGATGAGCTCTGCGGGCACGGACGAGGCAGACACAAGGCCCGAGGGCTCCTGAGCTCCGGGGGACCACGGGGTCGGCCTCCCCCGTTCAGCTCCACGTTGCCCTGCTGCACTTACAGGCCTTCGGACTCCTGCCTAAGAAAAGAGCCTAGAGGGGCCAGCGTTGCGGCACGGCGGGTTAAGCTGATGATGCCCACAACGCCCCCACGCCATATAGGAGCACGGTCCAAGTCTGGGCTGCTCCCCTTCTGATCTGGCTTCCCGTTAGTGGCCTGGAAGGCAGTGGAGGACGGCCCAGTGCTTGGACCCCGGTCACCATACGGGAGACCCAGAAGGCGTTCCAGGCTCCTGGCTGCAGTCTGGACCAGCCCCAGATGTTGCAGCTTTGGGGAGTGAACTGGTGGATGGAGACTGATCGCTCACTATCTCTCCATCTCTCTCCCTCTGTCTCTCCATCTCTCTTTCTCTCTCTCTCTCTCTCTCTCTCTATATATATATATGCACACACACATATATATTGTATTTATCACTGTGCCTTTCAAATAAATGAAATAAATCTTTTTGAAAAAGTGACTAGAGAGAGGGAAGGAGACAGGGTGGGGGTAGGGGACAGGTTTCTTCAGGGCTGGTCAGGGTGCACGCAGGGGCCCACCCGGCTCAGCTCTCCCCCAGGGGCCTCCTGGCGCCTACGACATTTGCCTCCTGGACTAAGGTTTGCTTAACAGCCAGAAATAAATGCTATGAATGGTAACCATATTTTAAAGGGCATCTCCTGGCTTTTGGCAAAGGCAAGGCTCTCCGAAAAGAGATTTCCAGGCTGAACAGGGAGGTCAGTGGCCAACAGGGGGTGTTCCCTCCTAGGGGCACTTCCCAGCCTTCCCCGAGTGGAACATCACGGTCTTCGGCTACCAACCTTACTGAGGCAAAAGATCAAGCACGGCTGAGCCCTGAAACAGCGTGTGGACGGGCAAAGGCTGCCGCGGCCCCAGAGGAAAGCACGCATGTTACCCGCCTCGTGGAACGCACGTGAACACGGCATCACACAGCAACCAGGGCCGAGGCTGGGGCAGCCAGAGGCTACGCAGGCTCACGGCCAGGGTCCCCTGCCTCCCACCCTGCCCTCCGCCACCCCTGCACTTACGTCTTGAGGGGCGTCTTCTTCTTCTTGGCGGGCTTGTTGAGCCCATCCCCGTCCATCGCACCGGCTTCGATGGCACTGGCTGGGATCTCAAAGGAGGCTGGGGACTTAGACGGGGAGCTGGGGGTCTTAGAGGACGCCTTAAAGGGGTCCACGGACTCATCACAGGCCTCTGGGTCAAAGGTGTAGGACTGTTGGGGCAGTTTGGGAGACTCCTGCATTTTTGAGGTGGAAGAAAAGGGGTTAAAGTTGGGGTCATCCCACTTGTCAATATCAAAGGTATAGGTACCTTTGGCCATAGGGATGTCACTGGGCTCGGCGGGGGAGCTGGTGGGTGAGGCAGGAGCGTTGTCGAGTTTCTCGGGGGTCTTTTTCATCTTTGGCCTCCGTAGGGGCATCTTGGCGACCGGTTTTTTGCCTGTCTTTTTGCTAGCAGGCGTGCCGTCACCCTGGCTGTCCCAACCACCCTTGTCCTCAGAGTAGTCGAACTCCAGCCTCACCGAGAGCCCTCTGGCGGGGGAGTCCCCTGCGCCCCCACTCTCCGCGGGGGTCACGGCCGCCGCCTCGGGGGCCGTGCTGGCAGGCAAGGCTTTCCTCCCCACGGTGGGTGAGTTCTGCACTCTGCCGCCCGCCGAGGCCGGGGCGCTGGCTCCTTCCGCGCCCTCGCAGTCCGGCGGGCAGGCGGCAGGTTCCGGGGGGCTCTCCTCCGACGAGGCTGATCGGGAACCCTCAGGCTTGGCTGGCTCCGTTTTTGTCTCAGATGCTACATGCTCCTTGGCGAGGACGGGACCCTCGCCGGCAGGCTCCGGCTGCGTCTCTTCCACCGGGGGGGTTTCCGTGGGCTTCTTGGTGGTCTGTTTCTTTTTCAAGGATGGCGGCCTGGGCTTTTTAGTTCGCTTAAGGGTACTGGAAGCACTGCTGGAACCCGTGCCATAGGCATCTGGGGCGAGGGCCGCGGCCTCGGGACCAGCCGCGCAGGAAGCGCCATCGAAGTCACCAGCTTGCAGGCTGAGGGAGCGGGGCAGTGAGGACTTGCAGGCGGGCACGGAGTCCGTGGACTTCCTCCGCGAACCCCCGGGGCACTCCGGGGCCTTGGCGTCTGGGGAGCGAGGCTCCGAGCTCTGAAAGGAGTCGACCAGCTCGATGCTGTCGAAGTCCAAGTTGTACGTCCCGCTGCTGGCTATCGGCTTGTCTTCGTCGAAGACGGCCGAGAAGGAGTGCGAGGGAGGACGGAAAGGGCTGCCTTCCACCGAGTCATGCCGGGGGCCGTCGGCGACGGAAGTCGTCTCAGAGCTGCATCCTGGGGAGATGGACAGAGCTGTCACTGGCAGGCCTATCTCATCCCAAGCCAGACCTCTACCTCGTGGGGCGACAAACCCTGGGCAACTCTGCCCTCTGTCCCCTCCTCTGTGAACTGGCAGCCACGAGGGCTGATGAGGGGACACCTCGGACCACGCATTCAAAACACGTCCACCAAGAGCCCAACCGGGACTGGGGATCTGACAACGAACAAAACAGACACGACCCCTGCCTTCCTGCAGGCCACACCCCTCAGGGTGAAGACGCCAAACAAACAAACAACACAGGCCGTCAGATGAGGGGCCGGTGCTGTGGCACAGCAGGTAAGGCCACCGCCTGCGATGCTGGCATCCCAGATGGGTGCTGGTTTGAGTCCTGGCTGCTCTACTTCCGATCCAGCTCTCTGCTGTGACCTGGGAAGGCAGAAGATGGCCCAAGTCCTTGGGCCCCTGCACCCGCGTGGGAGACCGGGAAGAAGCTCCTGGCTCCTGACCTCAGATCGGCTCAGCTCCGGCCGTTGTGGCCATTTGCGGAGTGAGCCAGCTAATGTCTCTTTGGCTTTGCCTCTCTGTAACTTTGCAGAAGGAAGGAAGGAAGGAAGGAAGGAAGGAAGGAAGGAAGGAAGGAAGGGAGGGAGGGAGGGAGGGAGGGGAAGGAGGGGAGGGAGGGGAGGGAGGGGAAGGAGGGGAGGGAGGGGAAGGAGGGAGGAGCTGGCCCCACTGTGACTTGGTGCTGTGTTCCTGCTGTTCCCCCCACCACACACACACACACACACACACACTGGCACAGCAGCCAGATAAATATGGTTAAATTTCAATTTCAGATAAATGGATGTTTTTAGTATAAGACTCTGCGTCCCAGTCACTCATGTTCATCTGAGGTCCAAGTTTCACTGGGCACCCTGCTAACTCTGGCAACCTTGTCCTCGTGCCAACAACCAGCCAGGGCTGGGAATGCCCACTTAGCCCCGAGCTGGCCTCTCACAGGGACGTCTCAGAGCAGCGCGGCCACGCCTGCCCCGTGCACGTGGTGTTTCCTGCAGCGCGGCCACGCCTGCCCAGAGCACTCTGTGCAGGACGCCCATCAAGGATGGGAAATGAGAGCACAGGGAAACTTGAAGCCTCCTGAGCCCAGGAGCTGCTCTTACTTACCCTTGCTTCTCCTGCAGCGGCCACGCTCTCCTGCGGGCTCGATAAATGCCTCCTGGGCGGACAGCCCCTTCCGGAAACGTGGGCGAGTGTCCTGGCATCAAGCCCTCCCCCTCCTAGGTGGCCTAACCGTGGAGCCTGGGTGAAGCCCCTGGCTCTGCTCTCTGCCGTATGACCTCTCCAGCGCCACCAAACACACAGCCCCCTTCTCATCCTAAAAGCAGAGGCCCCCCTCCCCTTTCTTTCCTGAAACACCCCCACCCCTTCCCCCGGGACCTCGGGCACCCATCCTCCAGCAGCACTGACCTGGTCCCCTGCCCTGTGTTACGGCCCTGGGACACCCAGGGCAGAGGGCAGAGGCCCAGGGGATGCTGGGGAGGACCAGGTGCTTTCAAGTGGCCCTGAGAGGAGGGCAGGCAGGCTCAGGCAGTGCCAATGTTCCCACAGCCAGGCCCAAGTACCCGTCGTCCCCCCCCCGTGAGCTGCCACTCGTGCCCCAGCAGCCTTCGAACGCCACTCATTTCCCCGAACCACGCGACCGTTGGCAGATACGTGGCCGAACCATCTGCTCGGTTTCCCCCAGAAAAGGCTGCTGCCTGCTTGGCACGGCTTCCTGTTCAGAACCGACACCTCCTAATTAAATCAAGGGCCCCACACCGCATCTCTGTCAGGGGCGGGCCTGTTCCCTGCAGGCACCCAGCAGCGTCCCAGCCCCTACCCACCACCAGCTGTGACCAAAACGTCTGCAGACATGGCCCCTGGCTCCCGGCTGAGCTCCTGTCTCCTACTGGGAGGTGACTGGGCCAGGCTGCTCCGTGAAGTCCCCCACAGAGCTGGGAGGGCCCTGCCCGTTAAAGCTGACAGCCACGCACACGGCCTGCAGTTTCCCAGGGCCCCTCCTCCCTCTGGATCTCTGAACACACGTATCATATCTGCATGAGGTATGTGCTAACATTCACTCATTCACAAATAATCCGGGGTGCCTCCCACACATCCACCACAGTGCAGTGTGCTGTGGACACAAGGAAGGCAAGAGCAAGACGATCATGCTGGCTCCAGGTTCCAGGTTCCAGGTTCCGTCTGAGGACAAACTCAGCATCCGTGCTTCATCATGGTAGGGGGGAGGGGGTTCCAGCTGCATGGGTCTCCCTGGGCTGCCACAACCACGGACCACAGCCCAAGCGCCTTACACAACAGAAGCGCCTCTCTCACAGTTCCAAGATCGAAGTGGTGGCAGGTTTGGTCTCTACTGAGGCCTTCTCCCTGTCCTGGGGCCCATGCCTCCCTGGCCCTGCCCTCTGACCCCATTTAACCTGGATGACCTCTTTAAAGGCCCTATTTCCAAATACAATCACATGGGAAGGGGACTGAACTTGAAGGCTGAGTAGGGGCAGACACCACTCTGTCCACAACACCAGTGCTGGCCAATAAAACCCCCATGTTAAGAAAAGGGCAAATGCATTTGGAAACAAGAGGGCATGCCAAGGAAAGGGAGAAAGCTAGTAAGTGACAGCTGATGTACCCAATCCCCTCTAACGCCACACCCCTGAGCCGTGCTGGACGTCCTAGGAATGCACTTGCTGCCAGCTGTAGGGGGCTGCCCTTCCTCTCCCCCTGCCTCAATGAGTTCAGGTTGGGCAGGGGTCCCCTGGGCCCAGGGGGCCAAAAGTGACAACCCTTATACCACTGGGTCAAGGGCAAATGATATCACACCCAGGGGACACAGCTGCACACCTTCTAGGGACACGAACAGCAACCTATGGCAACTCGTATATATCCTGGGGACAGGTCTCTGTTTTAAGCAAGTTAACAAGAGAAACTGAACATGACTTGGTCTTGTCACTGGCAGCTCTGGGCAGCCCACAGCAAGCCCGTGATGCAGTCAGTGTTTCTCAGACTTGCCCAGCCTGGACACCCCTGAGATGCCCATTAAAACCTCAGCCTCTCCGTCCACCTGCCCTTCCCTGGAGAAATGTCAGCAAGACTGGGATGGGGCTCACGACCCCTCATTTAACAGGGGCCGCAGGTGCATCTCCTGGTCAGGGAAGCCCGGAACCTGGCTCCCTGCACTGCTTTCCACCTGGGCCTATGCTCATACCAGAACTTCCAGTGGCCACGTCTACTTGCCCACGGGAATGAGTGGGATTTCAGCACGAGCTGGAATGGCTCTCTGACAGTCTCCCTGCCGTCCCTGAGGCAGGAGGCAAGGGGCTACTGCAGTGACAGACAGCGCAGCCACCCTCCTCAAGTGGCCCAAGCACAGGGCTGCAGGAAGTAGCCCTAAAACTCTGCAGGAGCGGCAGGCGGCCACGCTGCCTCGACTTCCCTGCGGTCCACTGCTGTTCACTCTCTGCTGCCCCAAGACCACTGCCCAGCAGCGCTGTGCCCTGCTGCTCCCTGGGTGTCTGTCCTGCCCTTGCGTCTGCTCTCAAAGCACAGTCAATCCCACAGGCTCGGGAGGAAAAAGTTCTGACTGAGGCCGCTTGGGTCACGACAATTATTAACCACACTGACTCAATCAGTGATGAGAAATTCTCTTCGTGAAAACCAACCGTTTCCACCAGATCCACCTGTCAGCGGCTGACGGATGTGCCCTCGCTAGGGTGCGGACGGCCTGGGTGGGGCAGGAGCGACACAAGCCACAGGCACCCAGGAGTGCCAAGGTGACAGTCCCGGCGAGGGGTGGTGCACAAGGGACTCACATGGCCCTGCGCTGGATCCTGGCTCTGCCTCAAGCCCAGCCAACGTCACTGCTCTGTCTCGCTCTGCCGGCTGCTGCTTCTGTCCTGCATCAGTTTCCCTGCCTGCTGTCCTGCTGGGACCCGATGCCCGCAGGCCCCCGTCCATCCTGCCAGGCCCCCACAGGAGCACCCAGGCTGCTGTCCATTTGCAGACCTGACCGTTCCCTGTGTGGAATGGAGGGGAGACGGACGAGCAGGGGTGACAATCAAACGTGTGCTGGGACCCAGGCCACCCCTCCTGCTTCTCAGCCGGGAAAGGGGCTCATCCCTTTCAGTGCCCTTAAGGCCTCACGGTGACCATGAAATGAGATGCTTTGCAAAAGCGCTTTGTCTGACCACGAGGACACTGCTGGGATTCAGCAGAGGGCAGGGCCAGATAGCTCAGAACCGGATAAAGGGCAGCTGAAATGGCTCTGCCGCTCATCAGCGCGGTGACCTTGGCCCAAGTTCCCCAACCTTGCCGGGCCTCATTGTCACTGTCCCCACTACCACCTCCCAAATGTTACTATTGCTGTATTATCATCATCACGTGTTGTCTGGGACAGGACAGCAGGTTAAGTCATCTGCCTGGGATTAGTAGGGGCCCCCAGCATCCTGGGGTACACTGGCTGTCGGTAGAGAGGGTATAGGGGCCACTGTGGCCATGCAGTGCTGTCAGGACCCTCCAGGACGGTCACTATGGGAAGCACCTGTGAGCCCTGCCAGGGTCTTGGTGTCCCCACTCAGGCCGCCCAGGGCTACCACGGTCAGGTGCAGTCACCACCCTCTCATGTTCCCCCACCTGTCTACACAGCCCCTGATTCCCTGTCAGCCCCCCATCCTGAGATGAAAGGGGCTGTGGACCCCCCTATAGCTCTGGCTCAATGGCTGGGGCTCCTGGGGAACAGAGTCGTACACTCACAGCAGCTGTCAGAGAAGTGGGAAGTCTCAGTTCACAGATGCCATGTGATGCAATCAAAGGTTGGCAGAGGCCGGCGCTGTGGTATAGCAGGTAAAGCCACCACCTGCAGTGCCAGCATCCCATATGGGCACCAGTTCATGTCCCGGCTGCTCCACTTCTGATCCAGCTCTCTGCTATGGCCTGGGAAAGCAGTAGAACACGGTCCAAGTCCTTGGGCCCCTGCACCCACGTGGGAGACCAGGAAGAAGCTCCTGGCTCCTGGATCCTGGCTTCGGATTGGCTCAGCTCTGGCCATTGCGGCCAATTGGGGAGTGAACCAGCAGATGGAAGACCTCTCTCTCTTTGCCTTTCCTTCTCTCCGGGTAACTTTGACTTTCAAACAATAAATAAAAAAAAAAAAAAAAAAAGGCTTGGCAGAGCTGGCGCTCAGGGCAAGGGAGCTCCCAAACCCTTCCCTGCGCCCCTTAGGCTCCTTCGGTCAGAAACAGCCTCTGAGAAAGCAGGAGGCGTGGCCTGTGTTTGCCTTTGAGAACGGTTTTGTCTTTGCTTTGTGGGAAAGGAAGTGAGGCACAAGGAGGAAGGCCAGGAACAAAGGACAGACGGGGACCCCCCCCAATCCCGGGCCACCGGGACCCCTCCTGGGCCACGGCAGCCCCTCTGCACCCTCCCTGGTTTCTGGGGAGGGCACACACCGAACCACACATCCTTTCCTACCAGATTCCTATCTAAAGCATCCCACAGTCTTAGGCACGAGCCTATCAGATCCACCAAGACAGCAGCTCGGACCTAGAGATTTCCATGTTTGTCATTCAGCCACTTTCTATTAAAAACTGTGGATGAATTTTTTAAAAATTTACTTGACAGGTAGTTATAGACAGAGAGAGAGAGAGAAAGGTCTTCCTTCTGTTGGTTCATTCCCCAAATGGCTGCCTCGGCCGGCGCTGTGCCGATCCAAAGCCAGGAGCCAGGTCTTCCTGGTCTCCCATGCGGTTGCAGGGGCCCAAGTACCCAGGGCCATCCTCCACTGCCCTCCCAGGCCACAACAGAGAGCTGGACTGGAAGAGGAGCAACTGGGACTAGAACCCGACGCTCATATGGGATGCAGGCGCTGCAGGCGGAGGACTAACCAAGTGAGCCATGGCGCCGGCCCCTGTGGATGAATATTTTTAAAGATTTAATTTATTTATTTGAGAGGCAGAGTTACAGTGAGAGGGAGAGACAGAGAGAAAGGTCTTCCATCTACTGGTTCACTCCCCAAATGGCCACAATGACCAGAGACGGACTAGGGCGGGGCCAATCCGAAGCCAGGAGCCAGGAGCTTCATCCAGTTCTCCCACGTGGGTGCAGGGATCCAAGGACTTAGGCCTCTTCCCAGATCATTAGCAGGGAGCTGGATCAGAGGTAGAGCAGCCAGGACACGAACTGGTGCCATAAGGGATGCTGGCACCACAGGCAGAGGCTTAGCCTACTATGCCACAAAGCCGGCCCCAATTTTTAATAATTTTTATAAATTTATTTAACATGGGAGATCCATTTTTATATGCTTTATGATATGAATGACAGAAGGGGCTGGGCCGCGGGCAGCCTCCCACCTCTCCTTCACTGTAAAATCAAATAAATACCATTCAGTACCCTCTCAGGAGCCAGCGTCTGTGCTGACTCGGCACAATCCAGATCCTGCTGCCGGCCGCTGAGCTGACCCAGAGAAGAGAGGACACAAAACTGCATCTGTCACACACCAGCAAAGGCCCTGCTCTCGGAAAACCCGTCCTAACCCTCGGCCCCAGCACCCACACAGTGAGCGGGGAGGCAGCTGCTGGGGAGCGGAGCCCCGGGGCTGTGCAGCCTTTCTGGAACAATGGTCTGCTTGAACCAGGGCAGATAAAAAGGAAGCCAAGGTCAAATGCCATTCCATTTCCCAGCCACCTGGCCCGCAGCCAAGGCAGGGGTACAAACGGAGGCCTGGCCCTGGCCGGCCGTCCTGCTCCTCCCTCCGCCGTCTGCATCTTCACCTGGCAGCCTTGGCTCAGGCACGAGGACTCCCAGCCTGCAGGGCCCTGCCCCTTCCTGGGTTCCTCTGCAGGCACAGAGAAACCTCTGCTCTCGGGAAGCTGGGCCAGAGGGGGAAAGAGGCGGGCCCCGGAGGGGGCTGCTGGCAAGCACCCAGTGTGTGAGCTGGAGGGAGCCTGCCTTGCAGACTCCTTACGGGGAGGGCGTGACCAGAACAGCCAGAATGGAGGCGCCCTGGCCTAGTGGTTAAGACACCTGCGCCGCACTCCGGGGCACCTGGTTCAGGTCCCAGCTTCCTGCTGATGCCGCCCCGGGAGGCGACGGAGACGTCAGTGACTGGGTTCCCACCACCCACGTGGGAGACCTAGAGCCTGAGTTCTTGGCTCCCAGCTCTGTTCCCGGCCATTGTGGCCATTTAGGGAGTGAACCATGGATGGGATCTCTCGCTCTCATTCTCTCTCCATCCCTCCCTCTCTGCTCCTTGAATGAATAAATGAACAAATAAATAAATAAGCAACTTAAAAGATAAAATATGGGACCTGGAGCTGTCCTGTCTGAGGACAATACCAGCTGGCCCCTGACCAGCCTGTGTGGCCACCACTGGCAGGCCCTGCCTTCTTCCAGGCCTGGTATTAAATTTTCGCAGGACGGGTGGCCCCACTCCCAGGAACCCCAGTCTTGTGAGTGGGGTGGAGGTGGGCGTGAGGTCCGTTCCCTCCCCCGTAATAACCACATCTAAAATGAACATCAAGGTCTGTGCAGAGCGCAGAATAAGATGTGAGGCAGCCCAGGGGTACTGGGGAGTGAACAAACCACCAGGGGCTCCTCCTCCTCACCTGCCTACAGACTGTGCCTAATCTGAAGTGCTCCACAATCCAGAACTTCCTTTCTTTCTTTTTTTTTTTTTTTTTGACAGAGTTAGACAGTGAGAGAGAGAGACAGAGAGAAAGGTCTTCCTTCCATTGGTTCACCCCCGAAACGGCCGCTATGGCTGGCGTGCTGCGGCCGGCGCACTGCGCCGAACCAAAGCCAGGAGCCAGGTGCTTCCTCCTGGTCTCCCATGCGGGTGCAGGGCCCAAGCACTTGGGCCATCCTCCACTGCCTTCCTGGGCCACAGCAGTGAGCTGGACTGGAAGAGGAGCAACCGGGACAGAATGTGGCGCCCCAACTGGGACTAGAACCCGGTGTGCCGGCACCGCAGGTGGAGATTAGCCCAGTGAGCTGCGGTACCGGCCATCCAGAGCTTTGTGAGCCCTGTCATAAAGCCACAAGTGGAAAATTCCACATCTGACTTCGTGTGATGAGTCACAGCCAAAATGCAGGTGCACTAAAAACACAGTATCGGGTCATGTGTGCAGGATGTGCACGAAACAAACGAATTTCATGTTTAGACTTGAGTCCACTTCCAAGAAAACTCATTATGCACTGAAAAGAATTCTAAGAAATCCAAAATATCCCAAGACACCAGGTCCCAAGCATTTTAGGGTCGGGGTCCCCTGCCTGTACTGCCCACGGTGCCCATGCCCGTGGGGGCTCTGGTTTGGAAGACAAGTATGAAGTCACCAGCATTCTGACAGGAGAGAGAAGCCACACTGCAATCCAAGACCAGGCCGGAAACTTCCGTGACTCACTTGTCCCCACTGACACTGAGCCTTCAAGGGCAAGGCCCCCAAGGGCCTCCCCCAAACACCTGCAAAGAAGGCCCAGCGTCACCCACCACACCTGCTCACCTCACATGAAACACCGCCCAGAGCCAACAAGCCCCAGCAGCTGCTATGGATGGGCTCAGGGTGGGCGCCACCTCCACCTGTGCCCCAGGAGGAGCCGCCGCAGCTGCCCCGGGAGCTCAGCGTCCTCGGTTACCTGGTTCTTCCGGGGGCGGTGGTGCGCTGACCTCAGGTTCAGGGATGACTTCGGGGGGCGGCGGGGGCGGGGCTGGTGGAGCTTTGACGGGGGTCGTTGACTCCGGGGTCTCAAATGCTTCTTCAGAGTCAGAACTCCTGATGGAGAGAGGAGATGTGGGGTCAGACAGCGGCCGAGGGCCAGGCCCGCGGCACAGCACGGCCTCCGGACTCCCCAGCCGTGAGTTCAGGCTCAGCACTCGGGCAAGCTCCGGGCACAGACACGAGGAATCATCCCAGGGACCGCTCTCACCACCAGCTTCGAAGGTGCCCAACTGAGGGATGCTCTGAACTCAGCTCTACGGGAACCACATCCTTGTCCACTTCGTGGCAAACACACAAAGCAGATTTGTGATGAACTTTGGCAAACGATAGCTCATGTAGATTCAAAGAGACGCAGAGGCAGTCTGCACGGTGCCCTGCTGGGGTCTCAACCCACCTCCCGGACCCAGCTCTCCATCACCCTGCCCGCCCACCCATCTCACCCACCTCGTCCTTCCCACCACTGCCCTGCCTTTTCCTAATGTGGACACAGATTAACGTGCATGTAATCATATTATGAGTTTTCTCTCTGGGAGCTGAAAATCCCAGAGGCAGCCAGCCCGGTTTATCATAGATCACCAAGCCTAAAAGAGGAGGCAATGAATGAACATCCATTGAGTGAATGAGTGAATAAGTGAATGAATGAATGGAAGCTAGAGAGCCAGCCAGAGGAGGGTGCACCAGACCAGGTCACACAGCACGGCCCGTGGCCCCCGCAGTGTGGCCTGTGGGGAATTCTCTCCATGCAGAGAGAGAACAGGACCAACAGAGAATCCACCCAGGCACAGACAACCTCTGCAGGCAATCTGGCCCAGGTGCCTGGTGTTGTGTGTGGCCCAGAGGGCTGAGATGCCACCTAGGATGCTGGCATCCCCTATGTGAGTGCCAGTTCAAGTCCCAGCTGCCCTGCTTCTGAGCCAGCTCCCTGCTGATGCACCTGGGAAGACCGTGGAAGATGGTCCAGGTGCTTGGGCCCCTGCCACCACGTGGTAGACCATGATGGCGTTCCTGGCCCAGCACTGGCCGTTGCAGCCATTTAGGAAGTAAACTAGCAAACAGAAGATCTCTTTCTCTTGGTCTCTCCCTCTCTCTGTTACTCTGCTTTTCAAGTAAGTAAATAAATCTGAGGAGGAAGAGAGAGAAGGGGAGGGGAGGAGAAGCCACTCTGTCCAGCACCAGGGGAAGCAGCTCTCCAGAGGAAAGCCTCACCCTGGGGTCAAGAAACCCAGCAGGTATCTTCTGCCTTGCCCAGCTCCCTGTGGCTGCTGAACTGGGGGAGGCACCCCCACCAGTCACTGAGCCTGGGGTGCGGTCTGTGGGTGCAAGCAGCTGATAGCCTGCAAAAGGTGCCCAGGGGTCCATGGCTGAGCCCAACCTCCCAACCTCCCTCTGAGGACAGCCAGTGTAGCAGCAGCAGCAGCCTCAGGATGGTGTAAACGGATCCGAATCCCCGTGCAATGAGAAGTCAGCCATCAAGAAGGCAGGCACTCGGGGTTGCTGCCGGGCACAGACAACCTCTGCAGGAAATCTGGGGGAACCCTTTCGGAGGGTGACCCTGCAGGTGCAGGTGGAAGGTGACAGATTGTGCTGGCCACAAAGCCCGACACTGCAAGAAATCTGCACAGCTGAGCTCCCACAGGGACAAAGGCCCAGTGACCTGGGCACAGACCACCCTCTCCTAAAGACCCTCAGCCAGAGGCCAGCAGGGAGCACCAGGACCCAAAACAATGACTCCACTCCCTGCTGGGACCAGGACAGGGAGCTGTTTGGTGAGCCCCCTTCAGAAGAGCTACATGGATGTTGCTTTTACAACTTGTTTCTCTGCAATTCACTGCCCCAGTGCCAAAAACCTACACCCTTCCCAGAAACCTGGGCCCCTCTAACTAGCCACAAAGCACCCCCAGGGACCCAGAGACACACAGAAACATCAGAGCCGCTTTTGATGGCTCCAAGGAGCCAGCGCCAGCACATACAAGGAGGGAGAGCCCGACTTCTTACAAACACACATTAATATTAAAGAGCTCGGCTTTTGTCTGTGGGGAGAATGTAAGATCCACGCTTGGACGACAACAGATCTAGGGACCTGCGGTAAGGCAGAATCCGCTTCTCAGCAGGAAAACACAAGGCCGGTACACAACTGGGCAGAGAAGAGGAATACGAGTTTGGATCCGCCCGGTGGCTCTGGGTGTAGCCTGGGAACCCAACTTCCTCACCCCAGCCCCCAGCACCGCACGCACCAGGGGCAACGCCAACTCCATGCACGGAGCCAACTTGCCTCTCTCCGGAGCATCCTCGAAGGGCCGGGAGCCTGGAGTCCTCACTGCTGGTCACCGCTGTCCACACCCACCGGGCCCACTCCACTGGGGACCACATCTGCCAGGCGCCAAGTGCCATCTCTGAAGAACAGCCTCCGTCCCTCAAATTCCCAACCCTAATTCCCTTGCTGGTATCTCTGGGATCTAAACCTCTTCAGATTTCACCAAAAGAGTCAGCTGCACCCCAGCCACGGACGCCGTGAGCTTCTCTGCACCCGGAGGTCCTGCGCCTGCCCCGCTCAGGCCCCGATGCAGACTGGGACTGAGCGCTCCGTCCCTGGCGTCCGCGTCCCTGGGCGCTGGCAGCCTGCAACTCGGGAGCACAAAGGGCCCCGTGCTTTCTCAGCAGCACAAGCAGGCGATCAGGAGGCCCGGACGTGGCTGGGCTCTGGCTGCGGAATTCCAATGAGGTCTGAGCTGCAGCTGCCCAGCCTGCACACCTGCTCCGAGAACCCAGCACTGACCCCTGCCCTGCGTGGGAGGCGGTACACGGGGAGGGCCAGGGCTCGGGCACACCAAACCCTTGGTGCTTCCTGCCTGTTTACTACGAGCTATGAAAACGCCACGGACCACTAGAATGGCATTCACTTCCGGTGCTGCCTGCCTCGTGTTCCTATTCCTGCATCCTCTCCAGGGAGCAGACAGCGAGTTAATCAGGAGGCGGATGGCAGCTTTTTTAATTAGCTCTTTTTTCTCCATTCAGTTTCCCAGGGGCTCAAAACCACTTCCAAGAGCAAGGATTTCTGGAATCCACCCACAAAGAGTCTGTACATAAAACATAGCAGCTTTTTGGAGTCCAATGCATAAAGACAAAGTCTCATCAGCTGTGTAATTTTTTTTTTTTTACCGAAGAAACTAAAATACAAGAAATTATTCTGTTAAGGCTGCAAAGACACTTTAAAGTGAAAGAAAACAAGGCTAATTTGCCACAAGTAGGTATCAGAAAGAAAAATGCTGCTACTATTATATGCTAAAACATCTCTAAATTATGGGATGCTTAAGCACCGGGTTCACTATGTAAGGAAATACACAAATATATTTCTATAGTGTAAATATAGTTTTAAAATTATTTATTTATTTATCTGACACAGAGAACTAGAGAGACAGAAAGAGATCTCCCATACATGGTTAATTCCCCAAATGCCCTCAAGCACTGGGGCTGGGCTAGGCTGGGGCAGGCTGGGGCAGGGCTAGGCTGGGGCAGGGGGCAGGCACTCAACTACCTGCACCTTCACCTGCTGCCTCCTAGGGTGTGTAGTAGCAGGATGCTGGCATCAGAAGCAGAGTGTCCAACACCACAAGCTTATCCCAACACAGTTCTTAATGTCCAGACGTGAAATTGTAGGCATGAAAAGCATACTAGCCACCATTGTCACATATGTTGTTCTGTGTCAGGCACTAGGCTTACCCATACACTTCCTCACAACCTTCCAAAACGTCGCATCTTACAGATGAGACGACAATGCTCAGAGATGCAGATGACTTTGTTCAAGGCCATGCAGTTGGCAAGTGATGGGAGCCAGGGCTCAAGTCCAGAGCTGTCTGCCTCTCGAATCTGTGTCCTTCTCACTACATCTGCGGCTTCCAAATGTGTTTAGCAAGCTCAACTTAGAAATTGCTTTCATTAGAAAGTCTACCGAGGAGAACAATTAGGCTGTTGGGATGAACTTGCAAATCTGACACAGGGTTGGGTAACCCATCTACAGCATTACACCCGCTGATTTCTCCCTGGTTACACTGTACTGTTACAATGCATGCTGATGGGTAACTGCAAAGCTTTTTAGCAGTTAGTCTTGTGATCATGGGATCATGGGATATTCTTTACTAAGGCGGAAGGTGGGGGCAGGAGAATCATTTAACCACACAAACCAAATTAATCTTTCAGCAGCAAGGCCAAGGCCAAGGCCTTATGCTGGTGGCCACCAGAACTGCACAGCGTGGTGCATCCAGATGAGAAGGGCAGATGGGATGGGTAGCCCTGGGGCAAACCGACTGTGCTTGCTTGCTGCGGAACCCTGAGCCTGCTGAGACACCCCCACTGTGTGTTGCAGTTTGTGCTGTTCAAAAATATTTTTTCGAGTATTTCCCACGTGCTGCTTTGACAGAGCGCGTCGTCTGTGGAGGGGCTGAGCTCAGCACTGGTGCAACAGAGAGGTTTGCAGATGGTGCGCTGTGGGACTTGAGCTCTGTAGAGATTCTTTGAAATTCAAGAAAACACCGGAAAAGGAACAGCTAGAAATTCCATCGCGGGGCCTGCCTTCATTAGGCACTGCCTCCAAAGAAGAGTCTCTGTTCTGAACGCAATGCCCACCCTGGAAATGTAAAGGCACCTGACTACCAGCGCACAGTTCCTTCATGAGCTTCGCCAAAGCAGAAGGGAAGTCTTGCATGTGTGCCCCAGATTTCCAGTTTGCAATTCCCCTACATTGGTCTGGGACTGGATGGAGCTTCCTGAGACCACCTCCCCAGACGCAAGGGTCGGGAAGAGGCCTCGCCAGAGATGGGGGTGGGCCACGCCCCCCAGGACGCCAGCACACCACCTCACCTCCAGCCCCCTGTCGAGGGCACAACCTGAGCAGGAAGTCCAGGCGCTGCCCCAGGTCCAGGAGTGCCCCTTCCTCCCCGCTCCCTTCTCCTGGAAGACCTGGCCCAGGTAAAGGCCACAGCTCTGGTCCGAAGTCCCGCACCAGGGAAGATCAGCCGGCAACGTCCAGGCCAAATTACCATCTGCCATCCCTGAAG